CTGATGTTCTTATCTGAGTTAGAATAATGACCCGTTAATTGGACTAAATTGCCCTTTTCTAATTTAGGCTTGATTCAACCTTCTAAACTTTTAAATTCTTTCTTTAACTTTTCCAGGCATGCTCCGCAGTGTTCCGTGTCTTCATACTTACATTTGTTTCCTCGCTCTCTATTATAGCATTGAGCATAATTCACATATTTACCAGTATTTTCTTTAATAAATCCTTCGTAAATAGGAGTATTTTTAAACTTAAATATGACCGGTAAATCGGCTCCATGCCCTTTTAGTTTGACAAAAGCATAATAATAAGGACTGGTTTCTTCTCTTTTCCTAATTTGGGAAGTTAAAGTGCCTTTGATTTTTACTAATGATTGCTGTTTAAGTGGGGAATTGGCAATCTCAATTCCTAAATTATTTTCTCGGTTAAGAGTTAAAGTTTCTTTTCTTTCCATATTTATCTACTTCATATAGACAAAAATGAATGAAGAGAAAAGAAATTAACTCTGAAATTATTTACAAAACTTTTTCTAATTTACTCGAAATCTTTATTAACGGTTAATACTTTGTATTAAAAAAAGTTCTGTAAATATATATATATATTATATTTTACACTTTTATACAACACGAATGAACATGAAAAATAAATGTATATGGAAAAACTACTAATGACAGTTGAAATACCTAAACACTCTTCAAACAAATATGAGTACAACCTTGCTAATAATAGTTGGGAACTTGATCGAGTTTTATCAGGAGCCATGTTTTATCCCGAGGAATATGGCTCTGTTTCAGACACGTTAGACTATGATGGTGATCCTTTAGACATTATTTGTATAACCGAGAAACCTACCTTTCCTGGTTGCCGAATTCCGGTTAGAATAGTAGGAGTTTTAAAAATGATTGACGGCAATGAAAAGGACGATAAATTATTAGTCGTAAATGATGTTGATCCGCGCCTGAAAAATATTAACGACTTAAAAGACGTTCCTAAGGCAAAATTAGACGAAATTAATCACTTTTTTTCTCACTACAAAGATCTTGAAAAAAAAAAGGTAATTATTCAAGGATTTTATGACAAAAAAGCAGCAGAAAAAGTTTTAGAAGATTGTCAAAGTTTATACAAAAAATACCGCCACTTAATAGAAAAGAAATTTGATAAAAAAGAACTAGTAAAAATTTTAAGTAAAGATAAAGAAGACTATAAAAAAGATGAGTAAAGTGTAAGATATACAACAAATTCAAACATAAAAATTGCCGGTGGTTTGCTTTTTTCTTAGATTAATATTAATAGCACTAAATTGCTTATCTTTCTGTCTCTCTTATTGATAATCTATATATAAATATAACTCACTAAGAAATAATTTTCTTATAAATTTAATCTATCTCACTCTTCTTGTTGATTTTTCTTTCAAATGTAATATATAATTCCGGGAACGAATCCCACTAAAATCCAAAATATTAACCAAAAAACGCTCAATTTTGGTCGATAACGTTCAATACAGTCCCGACAAACTCTTTGACTACCGTAATGGTCTTTTTCGCAAAAGCGACATCTTCTTTGCTGTGTGTGTGTGTGTGTCTAAATTCATAATAATAATTTTATTAACAAATACAATATTAACCGCCTATTCTCCATTTCTGTATGATGGATTTATTGTTCCTTTTAGTCAATCACTGAAACCAATTAATTCAATTATAAATTTAATACTAAAATAATTATTAATCTTTTAAAATGCCAATTACGAAGGAAAAAAATAAAAAAAAGCAAAGTGAGAATCGTAAGTATAAAACTCTAATCAAGAACCAGTTTAAAAAAGTTAAAAGTTGTTTAAAAGAAAACAAAACAGACTCTTTAGAAATAAAATCGTTAGTGATTGAAACTCAAAAATTATTAGATAAAGCAAGTAACAAGGGAAAAATTCATCGCAATAAAGCGGCTCGAAAAAAAAGTCAGTTGATGAAGTGGTTTAAGTTTAGTAATTTAGAGATTGAGAATAAAGAAGGATCAGTTATTGAAGAGTAAAAAGTTGCTAAATTCTTGCTGTCCTTATAACTTAGCAATTATTACCTAGATGCTAGCAGAGAAGAAAATAGAAATTAGTGAACTAGGAAAGGAAAAAATTATTTTCAAATCTACTTATTCTTGAGCCTTTTGTTTAAATGCTGATTGTGAAGAAAAACAGCGCTATTATTCACTGATTACTAACGATCTCAATTATCAAAAGTTACAAAAATTGATTCCCGATTTAGAAGTTTCTAAAATAACTTTTAAGTTTTCTTCTAACCCTGTTAATAAGTCTCTTTCACGATTAAGAAATTATCAGTTAGCGGATGTGAATTTTCTCAGCAAACTAGAGAGCATAGGAATTTTTAGCGAAATGCGCACTGGTAAAACCCCCATTGCTTTAATGGTTTTCAGTAAACTTCCAGTAACTAATTTATTGATCATATCTCCTAGTATTTTGCAACAACAATGACAAAAAGCGGTCGAAGATTGACTTAGTAGACCAGCTTATATTATTACTTTTTTAGAAAAGGAATGACGTTACGAGTTTTACTGAAAAATTTTATCCGAGGAGGGATGAATTATCATTGTTTCCAAGGATACCTTCAAAACTGACAGTTCTCAATTCAAAAAATTAAAGAAAAAAAAAGGAACTAATAATAATTATTGCGTTATTATTGATGAAGCTCATTTCCTCCGTAACCATCAATCGCAACAAAGTAAAAGCGCCTACTTATTAAAGGATGCTCAATACAAAATGGTACTCACTGGAACTCCAGTAGTTAATCACCATACTGACATTTTTGGTATTTTAAAATTTCTTCAGCCAGAGATTTACTCTTCTTACTGAAAATTTGCAGAAGAATATTTTTATGTTCGCAAGTTGGAATTTAAAAAGGGTAAAAATAAGTTTCTCATTCGGCAAGTTAAAGACTTTAAAAATGAACGAAAAAAGCAAATATTACAAAGAGAAGTCAGCCAATTTTCAGTAAATAGAAGACAAAAAGATGTTTTGCCTTGGTTACCCTTAATTATTTACGAGAAAGAATATTTACTAATGGAAGAACAGCAACAAGATGTTTACTCACAATGAAAAGAAAAATGAAAAAGCGAATACCAACCTCTTGAAGTTTTAGCCAAACTAAAAACTTTGACACTTTATCCACCTGCTTTAGGATTTAAACAAAGTTTAGGAGTTAAGTTTAATTATCTAATCAACTTTCTCCAAGAAAGAAAAGAACAAAGCATAATTATTTTCTCTACTCGTAGCGAAACTTTTTTAGAGCCTCTATCCCAAATATTAAAAACTCAAAAAATATCAACGGGCTTAATTATTGGTCAAACTAACTACCAAGAAAAAGAAAAATATATTCAGCAATTTCAAAACAGCGAGTTAAAAATTTTGCTTTGTAATCTACAAACTGCTGGAGTGGGATTAAATTTGAGTCGAGCTGAAACTATTATTTTTGCTGATCGTAGTTATTCTCCAGCAGACAACGAGCAAGCCGAAGCTCGTTTTTTACCAACTAGTAGCGAAGAAACTCCCCGTGTTCGCCTAGTAATTGACCTTATTTGCAAAGGAACTATTGATGAAAAAATACTCGACTTACTAAAAAGAAAAGAAAATATTATTAAAGTTCTTAATAATAATCCTGGATATTTTTTTACTTAACACAATTAAATAATAAATAATTAATTTCTGACCTAATTAGTCAAGAGTTAAAACCTAAAATAAAACTAGTTAAATTATTAATTTCACCACTTTTATTTTGGTGCCTTGTGGAGGACTCGAACCTCCAACCCCCTGATTAGGTGCTTATTTAAAAATTAATTTCTATGCAATCACTCTTTATATATTAATATTTTTCATTAGATAACAAGCATAGCAAGAAAAATTTTTTGAATAAAATAGAGTAAGGAGGGGTTTGTCAGATATTCCCCTCCGATAAAAAAAATTATGAAAAATCTGACAAAAAAAAGCCTACAAGGCAACAATACACCAAAATTAAATAAATGAAATCCTAACAAATTTAAAAAATTAACTAATTATCAAGTTTGATTACAAGATAAAAATTTTACCAAAGAAACTATTTACAATTATTTAGGAACAGTTAATCAATATGGAGATAGAGAAATCAGCACCAGTGTGATTACTAATTTTTTTCGTGAGAATTTAAGTAAATACGAACCTGCTACATTGAGAAGTAAACGCAATGCTTTGGCTTCTTATAGTAAATTTCTAAAAATGAATGTTGATTGAGAAAGAATTACTAAAATAATTCCTTCCATTCAAAGACAGTTATTCCCTACCATTGATTATCAAGATTTAGAAAAGTTAAAAAAGGCTAATACTAAGACTGATAATCAAACTAACGAACGCAATAATTTAATCTTAGACTTTTTATTCTATACTGGTTTAAGAGTAAATGAATTAATAAACCTAAGACATAGTGATTATGTTAATGAACAGTTAAGAATACATGGCAAGGGTAATAAAATAAGGTTTGTTTTACTTCCTGATTTTCTAACTAAAAACTTTGATCCTTATTCAAAAAATTATCTTTTTCTGACTCGCAATGGTAAGCAACTCACCAAAGGACAAATTAGGAGAAATATAAAGAGAAAAGCACGTCAGGCTGGTATTCTCAAAAATATTAGTCCTCATTCTTTTAGGAGAAGTTTAGCGACTAATTTATACAATAGTGGAGGTAAATTAGAAACCATTCAGAAGCAATTAGGTCATGCTAGTTTGGATACTACTTTGGGATATATTCATAATGATTATCAAACTTTGTATGCTGATTATAGTAAACTATGAACTATGAAAGGTAAAGAATATTAAGTCTTAATAGTAAAATTAAATTTAAAATCAAGAATATAGAAATAATGCTGAAAAGAGAAGTTGATTATAGTTATTATCGGTTAAAAAAGGCAATCCTAGTTAATAAAAAAGTTCTTGTCAAAGAAATATACATTGATCCTTATTGAAAAAAGCATCAAAATGAGGGAATTAGTGAAGAACTAATCCTTAAATTAGTAAAATTGCTTAATAACCGAAGAACAGAAGAAGGAAAAAGATATGATGACTGAATATATTTTGTAAATGAGCCGTGATTCTATGACGATAAAGCCTATTGTTTAGTATGATGTTTAGAAGATAATCAAGATTATTTAGAAGTTATTGATTGTTATCGTGTTAGCAATTACGAGAAAAATAAAAAAGATCATGAAAAGCAAAAAAATAAAAAATAGTCCACCAAAAAAAGTAGTAGACGGCATTAGAAAAGAGTTAACTAATCCATATTTTCCTTATAAAAATGTTGGTTTAAGTCCTAATGCTACCCCTTTGGAAAAAAATAAATACGATATTTGCCAAAAGATATTAGCTTATAAGCAAGATCATAAATTAACTACGGAAAAAGTGGCCAAAAGTATTCAATTAACTACTCCGGAAACTGAGGACATTTTGTTTGCTCGGATTGATAAATTTACTTTGGATCGTCTAGTTTCTTATGCCACTAATTTAGGAATATTTTTACAGGTTAAAGAAATAAATGATAATTCTCGTTCAATTTCTAATAATCTGCGAAGTATTTCCTTTTCTCACAAAAATTCTAATAGTCGTTCAAGAAAACACCTTTAATCTTATAAACCAGTTTTTTGATTTAAAGATCATACCATTAATCATTTATGAATTAGAAATTGTTATCGATAGGTTAGATAGTAAAATTGCTTTATTTTTAGAATATTTTTAAAGAGTTAGGGTTTTACTATGGATTTAAAATAATTAATGAATATTTAAGGTGAGTTATTTAGGGGGGATTTCTATTTTGGTTTCTTGATCATTTTCAATTTGTAGTCGATTCATGCTTTCTCTTAGTTGATTACCTGCATCTTTTTCATCCATTCCGTAAGAAAGTTTACGATACTTGATTATAACTCTTTCTAGATTTTTTATAGCATCAGTGATTTTTTTTATCCTATTCTCTTCTTCTGCTTTATTCAAATCCTCACTGAGTTTATCTCAACTTGATATTAATTCATTAATGTCAACTTCCTCGTTATTATCTTTATCATAATCGCTTAAGAAATTAATAAGGTTATTATTTAAATCTTCTAAGGATTTTTTTATTTCTCCTCCTTTTAACTTCTCAATTTCAAACTGAGATAATATTCCCGATAATTCATTGTAATTATCCAAAAAAATGTCAGCATTATCTAGAAATTCTCTTCACTTGCTTTCTTTTTCTTTTAATCTTTCCTCTAATTTAGACACTACCAATTCAGTAATGGGATAGATAGCAGCAATTCCTCCTCCAATGGCTTGAGAGTCTCTAAAAATAAAAACAGCACCCAATACTGCAGCACTCCTACCAATAGATTGAGCAGCATAGATTGCTAGTTGAAGTTTATATAACTCCTTAGGAGACTGTAATTGGTTTATGTTGTTTATTTCTTTCTTGGTTAATAACTTTCGAGTTCAATGAGTATCATTATCAAGTTCCTTTTTTATTCCTCATTTTTTTAAGAATTGCCTAATATTACCTCGAATAACGTATAGTCTTTCTAAAGGAATAATTGAAGCAATCATGTTGTTTTGCTTATTCTCACGTCACTTGTTAAGATTATAATACCTATCTTCCCCTCTACTTTCCGAACAGCTACTTTTGTCTAATTTTTCCATAATTTTTATGGATTCATATTTGTAGTCGCTATTGCAATAAAGTTTTTGGCAACTTTCAGGCAAATGTTCCAAACCTTCGCTGAGGTTAGTATTAGTAATATTTAATTCTTTTAATTTAGTAAACCCCTCTAAGACTTTTAAACTCCCTTTAAAAGGACAGTTACTAATATCTAATATCTCTGTTTCAGGGTTGTAAGAAAGCAAACGGTGGAATTTATTATTGTCACATTTTAGTATCTTTTTTCTCTCGCTTTTATCACTTTTTTTCCCTTTTTTTAATACTGCAAATACCTTAAGTCTTGTCTGTACATCTTTAATTGCATTTTTTCAGTGCATTTTTTCATAACTGGAAAATTGATCAAAGTTAGTAAGTTGATTGTTAGAACAATCTAGATATTCCAAATTCTTGAAATCACCTAGACATAGTTCTCCAGTTAGACCTCTATTGCTAATGTTCAAAGTGTTTATTTTTTTCCTTTCTTCTTTAGGGTAATGAAAATCTAAGTAATTTCGAGCATTATGGTACTCTTCTCACAACTCTTTTCTCGTAGTTTGGAAAGGTTGATAATCCTTGTATTTCCCATAAGCTGCTAAATCATAGTCACTTACCTTTAAACCACCATTCATTCATTCCTTGGCAATTCGGAAAGTAAAACCATAATTTTTTCAAGAATTTTGATAACCACTTCCATAACTGCCAGCAAATTCTGGATCAACACCAACTCACTGTTTATATTCACTATTACTATATTCCATCTTTAATTCTCCGTCATTGTTACGATCAACTAGTCACTGTTGATATTTTGTAATTGCTTCTTGATCGCTATATTCTTCTCTATATTTAAACATTTTTAACCATCAAGCAAAATCAGCATCATCTACTTTTAAACCAGCATTTATTCACTCTTTACATTCTTCTTTACCAAAACCTTTTTCTTCTCAATTTGTTTGTAATTCATCAGTAAAATCAGGATGAATATTTTTTCAGTCTGCCATAATACTAATTTTAGTCTGAACAAAATCTGAACAATAATTATTTAATTTTTAAGGGAAATTTGCTTAATAATAATTCTTTTTTCTGTTTTTATTGAAAATTAAAACCAGAATAATTATTCCTCCTACTAAAACACTCCCACCAATTATTCAAGGAAGATAATTAAAAGGTTTATTTTCAGTATTATTTTCTAATTCTCTTAATTTTTTTCTTAAACTCTCTAATTCGGCTTCTTCTTGGGGAGTGCGATTAGTTTTTTGTTCTAATTTCTTAATTTTCTTTCTAATTTGCTCTCTCTCTCTCTCTCTCTCTCTCTCTCTCTCTCTCTATCATTTGGATCTGGATTGTTAGGAATTTCGATAAGATCATTAATTCCTTTACTTTTCGCTAATTGATTAAGTTCATTTGCTACTTCTTGGTAAGTTTTTTTTAATTGCTCTTGCGTGGTAAATGTTCTTAAAAGTCTATTGGTTAGTTCGAGAGTATCTCAATTATTAAGATTGTGCTTAAAAATTCAATCATCAAGACTTTGTTTTTGATATTTCTTTAGTTCGTGTAAGAAGCTTTTATTTTCATCTTCTCCACAATCTAAACAATAAGAAATTTCATCTAGTTTTCAGTAAATATTTCTGTGATAGCAGTATTTATTTTTCTTTCAATTGGCTTTAAGTTTTATTCTTTTAGGAACTTTATTTTCCAAATCTTGCAAAACCTTTTCTAAGTCTTTTTTTCTTTCCTCAATATATACAATTTTGCTAGCATTCGGTCATAATTTTAACCTTTTTTGTAAATCTCTAATTTTTTTATAATCAGTTAATTTACAAGAATTGTTTTCCAAATTAACTCCTAAAAATAATGCCTCACTCATGCATTCATTATCAAAAGTGCTAAACTCACTTAATTCTTTTTCCTCGCTTTTTCTTCTTTCTTCCTCTAATTCTTCTTGTCCTAATTTTTCTATGTCAGCCTGTTCTCCGCTTTCTATTCTATCTTTCAAAAGTTTTAAATCTCCCAGTAGTTCTCTTTCTTCTTTGGCTAAGTTTTTATAACTATTATCAATAGGATCATAATCAAGTTCTCAACGATAACTTTCAGTTTTTTTTCTAATTTCTTCAACCATCGCTAATTCTTTGCTTTTATTTTCGGCAATATATTTTCCGCTTAACAAAAAACTTCTTATGTTTGCTCTCGCCTTATCAGCATCTTGCCCATTTCTTACATAATCTTCCCGGTGGGGGTTGTTATCTTTCATCCGGTGAACTTTGGCTCAGCATCTATTACCTTCTTTTGAAATTTCTAATAAGCGGGTCAGTAACTCAGAAAATTTTTCTTGCTTTGCCATAAAAAAACTCTTATAAACAAAGTTTTAGCAAAAAAAAAAAAAAAAAAAACGCAAAATTAACCTTTCAAAAGATAAAGAATTAATACTACTCCACCAATTAACATTATTTTGTCCATGGTTTTCATTTTATCTAAACCCAGGATTTTCATTAAACTAAATCCTCCTAGTATTTCTTTTCTGGCTTTGTCTAAATCAGTCAGTAATTGGTTATATCTTTCTTCACCTTGTTTTAAATTGTTTTGAACAATAGCGATTTGTTCTTTTAAATATTCATCGGTTTCATGTTTTTCACGAGGTAATGTTCCATTAAGTTTACCCACTAAGGTAATGAGTTGATTTTGATTATTTTGATTGCTTTGAAATTGTGCCTTGGCAGCATCAGAAATTTCTTTGTAGCGTTCATTCTCCATCAATCTCTTTTCTGCTTCTACATTTTCTTGGTCTATTTTATCCCCTAAAAAGAAACCGCCTATTGTTCCTCCTCCAATTATTCAAGGAGAAGAACTAGCGGCAATAAAGGGAGTAGCGGTTCCAGCACTAGCGATACAGATCCCTATTGCCGCCACACATCCTATACAAGCACAAACTCCTTTTCAGAATCCCATAATTATTTAGTATTATTTTTTTCGTCACCATGGACGCTATTTTGATTTATTGTTTTCATGTTGTTGTTGTTGATTGTTTGTTGTTTGATTTGTGATAATTGATTGGCTAGAGCAAATAATAATTTTCGATAATTTTCTAACTTCTTTATTTTGTCATCAATAAGAGTTAATGCGTGGTTTATTCTAGTTTCTAAATTTGTAATTTCTTTGTTCATGATTTATCTGCTTTTTAAAAGACTAACTTCGCCTTCTAATTTTATAATTCTGTCTTCTATTCCATCATCTCCGCTTGGTTGCAGTTGTTCGATTATTTCATCTAATTTAGCATTTATTACCGTAACAAGATTATTCAGACTTCTTTCTAATGTCGGTTTTTGAACGCTTTCATAATCTCCTTCAAAATCAGTTGAATATTTCTCTTTAATGTGTCAAAAAAATTCTAAGAATTCACCGATCTCGATTTCTACCTCTTTTTCATCTTCTTCGTCATCATCGTTGCTTTCTCGTTCACTTTCTTTTCTTCTAGGAATATATTTAGCATCAGGATTTTTTTCAATAAATAAGTTTCAAAATTTTTTTCTTTCTGAAACTTCATCATCTTTGCCTAAAAAGTAACGATTAAAAATGTCAATATTAAAGTCAGCAAGTCATTTTTCATCTTCCGGCGTTAACTGACCTTTATCTTTTCATCTCTCTGGTAAATCTACTTCATTGTTTTCACAAAAATCCTTAAATATTTTTCAATTCCAAGTAAAATCTAACGGATTACTTAATCTTCCTTTTCTAAAGGTGGCTTTTTCTACTTGGTCTCGGTGGTTAGTAGCGAACACTCACAAATTCTTGCTATCCCTATCCTTATCTGCACTTTCTAAACAATCTTTAAGAAATTTCAGTTGATTTGGTTGAAAAATAAGTGAATTATTACTAATCTGATTGGCTTCATCAACAAAGAGCATATACTTAACTTCTCCATTCTCATCTCTTTCAAAACCATAGTCTTTAACCAAACTTCATTCTAATTCACTAATGGTATAAGCAAATTTGTGTAAAGGCAATATTTCAGCTTTTTGGTCGGCTTCAGTCGGAGTCAAATCAGAACCCGCAATCACTACCAGCGGATATTTATTAGTTTTGACACATAAATTTCGCATAGTTTCAGTTTTGCCAGTGCCAGGGGCTCCATAAAATAAAGCATTATTTCCTAAGCCATTTTCATAGTTTCCTCGTGTTGGATCTGCTTCTGTTCTTCGAATTCAAGCCTTAATTTCATCTGATAAAATCAACTCCTTTTCACTCTCTAGCATTTCACAATCTAACTCTAATTCTTTACCCTTATCATAACAATTTTGTAGAGATGGCGGAAAGAAAATTTTGTAAGGCGCGGCGCGAGAAAAATAAAATCTTTCATCTTTATCGCCATTTGGAAATAAACTAGCAAACTTTTGGTATTCACCAATTAAAGAACTACTTTTGCTTTTAACTATTCTATCGGCTCAACTATTAACTGGTAATTCTCAAATGCGTCCTTTTTCTCAAGCATCTTTTTCTTGTTCTTTTTTTAATTCTTCCGGAGATTTATTTTCTTCTGACGAGGTCGATGAATGCTGATTATTTTGTTGCTTTTTTTTGTTTTCTTCCTCTTCGGATAGATAAATAAAAAAGTAATAAACTAAGCCTGCTCCAAGCATGAACAGTAATAAATTCTGCTTGTTTTTATTCTTTTTCATAGTCATTATCACTGTAAAAGTAGAACATTATTCCTAATCCAACTACCATCATAAAAATTTCTTTACGGTATTTAGTTAAAAAATCATCGCTGTTTTTATGATTATTAGAATTCGAACTATCACCTTTTTTATCAGCACTAGCATTTTTAGGAACATTACCTTTAGCAAGTTTTTTTAAGTCATCTAAATAACTGAAATTGCTAACTTCCATTAAAGGATTAGTTTTTATCTTTTGTTTAATTTTTTCAGCATCGCGAGCAGCACGATTGGCTAAAACAATAAATTCTGCTTTTTTAGTTGGATCAGTTTCATCATTCGCTTTTTGTAAGTTTTCTTTATAAGCACTTTCTGCTGCTCTAGCCTGACTTTCTAAATCTAAAAGTTCTTTTTGATGTTTAGGTTCTAATTTTTCGATAGCGGTTAATTGCTTTTGCAGTTTTTTGTTAAATCCATCCAAAAAAACTTTTAAGAAATTACCAAAAAAATCATTTCAAATAATACAAATTCCACCTATTGAACTAGCACTAGTTACTTGACACTTACTAATTAAATCATTTAATTTACTAATTAATGCTTGCTGATTGTTCCTAAATATTTCTTCATTAGCCGAAAGTTTTATTTCATTGATATCCTCACTAATATTAGCAATACTATTAAAGAAATCAGCCAATGTTTTACAATCTTCGTCTAGTTTATGGGTGCCACCTCACTCACAACAACCACCAGTTCAATACCCTGCATCATTCTCAAAAGCACTATTCCCACTTTCTTTGGATTTTTGCCGTGGCGTAGTTATCTTTAGAAAATTGCTTTTTAAGTTTTCAATATTGGTGAATTTTCCTATTACTTTGACTTTCTTTGGTCTTACCATATTTCTATAAATTTCAAAAAAAATAATTCTTAACCTAGATAGGATAAAAATATAAGGATTAAAATGGATCTATTGTCAAGGTCAATTTTTCTTGTTATATTTACTTCTTCAATAACAGTCTATAACACCAAGAACATGCGGATTATTCTTATCTAAGCATCAAACTAACCTAAAAGCATAGCCTCACCGGTTGAAAACTGGTTCATAAGTATGATAAGTGTAATGATAATAACTTCCTTCAAACTTTACTTCTTGTTCACTTTTTCCATGTAGTTGCTTAACTAGTTCCCTGATTAAATCATCAGTTATTAATACTTGGGCTAATTCAGATTTAGTTAGTTTAATTCCTTTTTCTTTTTCTCTTAAACCTTCGACAAATTCTTGATTCTTTTCTTGATAATCAGGGCTAATTTCTAACTTAGTAAAAGTTTGCTTATCAATGGTAATGCTACAATTATACTCGCGAAGATTAGTGGGTTTTTGATGAGGCTTCTTTGCGGTCATAAGCAAGATTAGTTTTTAGTTTAAAAGGTAAGGGCAATTCACTTAAATAGTTAACTAGTTCTTCCAAAGTTAACTTATCAAGGTGACGAAACAAAATATATTCTAATTTAGCTTTACTAATTCCTAATCTTTGTGCTAACTCCTTTTCGGATAAATCATTTTCATCCTGATAACGAGAGATGCTAAGGCAAAGATGATACTTAACCTTATCAGATTCAGTAGCATTAGGTAATAATCCAATATTTATTCGACGATAACCCGGACGAGCAATTCTCTTTCTTGCTCTTTCTAATTCTTCTTGAGGGGGAAAAACAAACTTCTTTTTTATAATTGCCATAAGTAGTTAATATAACTCCATTTTAGTTTCTTTAAAGTCTAACTAGAAAGACTATTAGTCACTAATAGAATATTGACTTATTTATCTCGATAATATTGGTAAAAGAGTTTTAAATACTTTATCACTTCATCAGCAAGCCTTCTTCCTGCTAAACCCTCACGAGGCAATGTATTATCTTTAAATAAAAAACTTAGACCTATTTCTTTTCATCCACCGCCACTGAATCAAACTTGTGAAATTTCACTTCTAGATTCCATTATTTTAAAATTTGTAACCTTGTTTTGGTCAACATTACTTCATTGAAATTGTCAATTAGTATCAAGAAGAACTTTATCTCACCATCCCTTTTCCTTAACCAATTCAGCATTAGCAGTATTTAGTTGAGTTTGTAAACTATTTGCACGATTATTAGCATTATTAATTTCAACATCTTTTACATGAAAACTATCGAGAATTTTTTTAACCCTAGTTTGAACTTGACTAGCACTTTCATTAGGAAAGGTTTTTGTTCAAAGAGATAGTTGGTTAAACTTAACTTTCAAACTATTTCATACGGCTAAAATTTCAGCTTTTTTTTGATTATTGAACATAGTTTCTAAATTTCTCCTTTTTTATAAAGAATTTGCAATTTACTAATTTGGCTAGTTCCTAATAAATCTCTTACTTTTTCTAACTTTTTTTCTAGATTGGTTTGCTTTCTCAGGCTTACCTTTAACTGTCGATCATAAAGGTTTTGATCACTTTTTAAATAATTATTATCGTTTTCTAGTTCCTCTTCTCGGGTTATTTGCGAAATATGTATCTTCTGTAAAGCAGCATTAGAAGAATAGAGACGATGAAAACCTTGCTCTTGAAATTGGAGAAACTTTTGTTTTAAATCATTCCAAACTTGCAAAACTTCTTCTCTTAACATACTAGGCTAAGGTTGCTGCTAACTCTTTAAACTCCTTTAATAAAGTTTCTAAGAGTTTATCATTTTCACTATTTTCCTTAGTAACCGTTTCTAATTTGCGATTAGCTTCGGTTAATTTAGTGTTAGTTTCCGTAATAGTTTGATCTTTGGTTTGTAATTTAGTGGTGATTTTGTTTTTTAAAGTGGTAAATTCAGTTTTTAATAGGGCTAATTTTTCTTTTAAGGACATATTATTTAAGTTGGTGATTGAGTTTTCTTAACTCTTTAATAAGTTCATCCAGGGTGCTTTCTAGAAGTTTCTCATCCGAGTTAGGGAGAGTTTCAGTTTGCGTGCTAGTGCTTTGCATGATAGGCTTAGTTGATGCTTTATCTTCTCGGGGGTGAGTTAAAAAATAATAACCAGTGCCAATAATTAGTAAAATAATGATTAGTTCTTCCATATTATTTAATAGGCTTACTTAATAATCAAACTCCTAATCAAGCCATTAAGATTAGGCTAATAATTGGTCCATAATCAATTCAGCAGTTAGAGTTAGGATTTTCCCCCAATTCTCGTTTGCTTAATTTTCATTCTAATAAAGCTTTTTCACCGGATAAACGAGTTCTTTCTTGCGTTAAGAGTTTAAGGTTTTTTTCTAAGTTAGTAATCTCCTTAGTGTCTTCCTTGATTTGTTCATCTAAAACTTTTTCAACTTCTTTTAATTGCTCCCGGTATTCTCCAAATTCTTTAAGTTTACTTAATCTTAATGCTAAAATCTTATCCTCTAACTCTATAATCTTTTGCTTTAACTCGGCGGGATTTTCTTCGGAAGCCTCGATAAAAATTTCTTTTTCTGCCAACTCCTTGGCTAGTTCAGTAACTTTCTTTTTCAACTCTTTATTTTCACTTTGTAAGGTAGTTAATTCTGGATTCAAAGGAGGTGGGGGAGGAGTGGGAATATCTCCCAAAGATTTCGAGCGTTTTAATTTCTTTAAATCAGAAGGTTTAACTCCGGGCTTTACTTTTTCTTGGAGTTCTTTTTGTAAGTCTTGTTTAGTCATAATCAGTTAGTCTTTGTCTTCAACTAATTCGAGCTTGGATAAAGTTGAAATCTCGTTCAGTATACGGGAGTACTCGGTGGTAAATAGGATAATCTTTCATAATAGCCTTAGTAATCTCAATGACTGCTATTCCACAATCTCAACTATTCCCTTGCTTTAAGTGATAACGAGTTTCATAGTGATATTGCGGATCTTGCCAACTTTCAAGCAAATATTTCAATAATTCTTTTACTAAGGGTTTAACATAACTATCATTGGCTCCTTTTAAAGTATCAAAATGATAAAATTTCTTACTTTTGACTTCATAAACTAATAAGGATCAGTGAAAATCAGGATTATTCACCGGAATAAAAACTAATTCGCCTTTAAATCCCGTGAGTTCACTCAAGAAAACGGGAAAACTATCTCTCGCTTCTTTATCGCTACTTTCTAAACTTTCTTTGGCAAACATAAACTGGGTGCTTTCTAAGACTTTATACTTAGCGGATGGTGCAAGAGAAAGTTCTTTAATAACTTTTTCTAAGGCTCAATCTATTTCTCGGTCAGTTAATCAGTGCTTATCAGTAAACCAGTTTTTTTTTTCTTCTGATAGTTCTGCTTCACTTTCACTATCCAAAGCCTCAAAAAATACTTCACTTGCTGAAAAATCAGTTTTAGTTTTAGGTAAAGGATTTGGTTGATATTTTCAGTAAAGATAAATAATTACTAGCACAATTACTAGCATTAGGATTTGAGAGTTATGCATATTATCTTCAAGGCAGTTGGGTTAGTTGACAAATGAAGCAGAGGTTAGCACCAAAGAGAGAGTTTCTCTTTTGGCAGAGTAAACATTTATTCATCGTCGATAATTTTTCTTTTTAGGATGCTTTTTTACAAAAAAAGCCCTAACTTTTAGCACGGTTATTTTTTATCTTAAAAGTTTATTTTCTGAATCAAAGCAATGGCAATGGCGGTTAAACACATCACCGTAATGGAGTATTTTCCTCAGGTAAAAACAATGGTTTTTTTACCATCTTTGGCAGTTAAATGACCATTAGTAGGTTTAGGATGCTCAGTTTTTTCAGTAAGCTTAGCAGTCATAATTAATCATTCTCCGGAAAAAGTTATTTAGAGGGCTTCAATAACTTAGTTAAACTAATTCCTACTTGTTGATAAGCCGCGACTAATTTCTTAAGTTCTTGTTGTTTAACCGAAGTTAAAGAAGTATTGCTTTTAGATTTAGATTTAACGGCGACTAAATTAGGGTTTTTTTTCTTAGTTTTTAGTTTTTTTAGTTTCTCGATTTTGGGCATAATTAATATTCATCAGCAGTTAAGTTTTCAAAGAAAGAAGGATCATAACCGGAGTAATCACTTAAATCTCTAATTAAAGCTTTCATCACTAAACGACAATAGCAGAGGGCAACTTCTTCGGCTAAATATTCTTTAGCAGGTAATTTCTCTCCTTCTTCGTTAACTCGTCAATATCACTGATCTTCTAATTCAACTAATACAGTGCGATAATCAACATCCCTATGTAAGAATAAGCCAGTTAATTTTTGCTGTTTATCTTCATATTGCCAATATTCCTTGATTAAAGGGATATTCTGAAAAGGGATATTAGTAGTAAAGAGTTGGTAAATTTTTTGTTGGGCTAATTGATCAACTTCTTCTCAAAACTTTTCTTCTTGTTCTTCCGGAGTTAGTTTTTTAGTTTTAGGAAGTTTATCACTAACTTTCTTACTAGTTTTTGCAGGTTTAGAAACTACTAATTTTTTAGTTTTTTCAGTCATCTTACTTGTTAGATTGGTAATAGTTATAGCAGTAAACCGTTAAAGCTCCTAAGGCAAAAACGAGAGTATATTCTTTTCAATTTTCTTTAATTTTAGTTAGCATATTATTCAGATTCTTTTTTGTTTTGGTATACTTTTCAAGCATAAGTGGCTACGACATAAGTAATTAAGCCGAGAGCAATATACTTAAAACGATAACTCATATTTAGTTGGGGATTCATATTTTTTAAGGTTGGTTTTTAATAATGGGTAAAAATTAGGAATAATTTTTAGTTTAGATGATCAGGTTTAATGGTTAGTTATTTTCAAAAATAAGCAATCAAGAGTAAGCAAAAGATTCCTAAAGCAATGGCTACTAAGGCTTGTTGAGTTCGTTGTGAAAAAGCAATATTTTCTTGAATTAATTGCTTAAATTCAGTGGTTTTGCTTTCCACAGTATTCTTTAATTGCTCTTCATAAAAGCCAGTTAAAGCATCTTTTAAATTAGGAAGATAATCTTTTCAATTTATCATTTCTTAAATAAAGAGAGCAGTTTTAAAAACTACTCCGCTTCTTTTTTAGTAAATAATTGGTTAGTTAATCTTTGAACTATTTCCGTTTTATGGATTAAGTAAGCTAAACTTACTCCTAAAATTAGATAAGTTGGTCACCAATCTACGTATGATTTTCAGTGGTTTTGGTTCATAATATTTAAGCAGTTAATTTTTTCCCGACAACATAAATTATTCCGGTCAGACCTAACATGGCAGCAATTCCAACTAAGGAATAACCAAAAGCAGTTTTGATATCTTCACGGTAAAGAACTTCATGTCTTTTCGCACTAATGGTAGGTGATTTTTCTTTAGAGTTTAAAATATTTGGCATATTGTTTTTAATCAGTAAAAATAAAAATTTTCTAGTTTGATTTCTAGAAAATTAAGACTTCTAGTGGTGTTCTAGCAAGAATATTGGTTAATATGGTTATAAATAATCTTCTAATTAAATCTGAACGGGCAGGTTTATTTTAGGAAGGCTAAAACTTCTAGTTAAAACTGACTTGCAGTTCTCTTCTAGTAAGTTTAATAAGGAGTTAGAACAATAATGAAAAATAAGAATAATAATAAATGCTAGGGCAAGCGTAATATTCTAACTCCTGATTAAACCTAGGAGGTTTGACCTCCCAGTTTAGTTAAAATAAGTTTTTGTAATTGATTATTCTCTTTTAAGAGAGTAATAATTTGTTGTTGACCTTGACTGAATTTAGTTATTTCATTTAGTAAAGGCTTTAAATCGATGCCGAGTAAGTTCATATTTATTCAAATTCTTGGTTGGTTAAGGATTTATCAAAACTATTGAGATTTTTCTGAGGATTAAACTCAATCTGTTTTTTTTCTTGGGTATGGGTCAGTTTAACGGTGCTAATTTTATCCACTTTATTAGTGAGATTAAATAACTTTTGATTAGCATTATTTTCTAAGTTAGCTAACCGGTTATTCAACTTAGTTTGGTTATCCACGATTGCTTTTTGATTATTAATAACTACTTGTACATTGGCAGTTAATTGATTAATGGCTCCTTGAATTTCGGCCATGGTACCGGTCATTTGGGGAACTTTTTGTCCGGTAAACTGTTCTAACACAAGAGGAGCAAAAGTTAGACATTTAGATAAGGCTCCTAGGAGAGAGTTTTCTGGTTTAGTTGCCGTGGCACTTCCCAAGGTATTTTCTAAGGGGTTGTCATTTAAATTTTCTTGATTCATATTTTTCTTATTTGGCTAATTGGATTAGAGTATTAAAGCCATAGGCAATTCCTCCTGCTACTGGTAATCATTTAACTACTGCTTGAGCCGACTTATTTTCATTGAGTTTTTTACCTCAAAAATAAAGAGCTATACAAACTAAAATTACGACCAGCAAAATATTCTCTTTTCTTAACAGTTCCATAATTTTTAATCGTTAAGACTTCTTTTTAAGGCTTTACTCATTCTAAATCCTACTCAATAACTAGCATATTTTTTACCATAACTTTCTGGTAAATGAGACTTTCCTTTTTTAAGTTTCTTTTCAAAAACTCCAATTCCATTTAGTCTGAGGCTTTCTCCTTGCTTCATTTTGGCAAAAGTATTTAATAAATCTTCTTGCACAATTTGATAAGATTGTTTAATTAATTGTTTAGTAATCATTGGTTTGCTTATTCTTGGTATAACTTGCTTTTAGGAAGAAAGAAAAAAGTGCTTTGGGAATTCCCGTTCATATATTCCCATGGAGGAGAGTATAAAGTTAACCATTTAAGAAAATTGAAAATTGCTAAAAATGAAAGAGTGAAAAATAGTCAAATTTGAAAAAAGTGAAAAAAATTCTCTCTTATAATTACTTATACTATATAAAGAAAACTAAGTAAAAGAAAAAAATTAACTAAGATTTAAGAGTTATAAGTAACTTTTAAAAGATAAGAATATTTAGAGAAAAATTTAAGCAGTAACAAAGGGTTGAACTTCTTTTTTTAAACTCTTAAATAAAAATTTTGCTACTTGTTCTTCGTCATAATTGCTTTGCAAGTTTATTCAAAAAGTGGGAGCAGTATCAAAATATAGGGCTAACCGAGTAGCAATATTTTTAGTTAAATCGGTCTTTTCAGCCACAATATTCTTTAATTCCTTTTCGGGAACATTTATATTATGAGCTAACTGACGCAGAGTAAGACGAGAAGGAACTAAAAATTCCTCCCGTAGTATTTTTCCCGGATGATAAACAATTGCTTTTTTAGTCATAGTTAATAAGATTTTAGTGATAATCAGTAATTTCTACTTCGTAAGCATTGCTTTTTTCTCAAATAAAAACTATTCGATATTGTTTATTGATGCGAATGCTGTGATAACCTTTTCATTCTCCGCGTAAAGTTTCTAAACGATTGTGGGGAGGAGAAGTTAAATCTAATAAACTTTTGGCTTTATTTAATTGCTCTAATTTCCTTAAAGCAACTTCTTGAATACTTTTTCATCTCCGCTCGGTTTTTTCTTTTCAGAGTTTTTGAGTATACTTATCTTTAAAGGATTTAATCATTAATTAAAAATTTTTACAATTCTTTGACTTCTTTTAATCTTCATCCGCGATTCCTTTTTTCACAAAAGAAGAGATATTTTTTTCCTTGATAAGCATTAGTTTCTAGGGATTTTCAGAAAGTTTTACTTACTAGATTAAAAAAAGCATAAACGGTATCCTTTTTAGTTCCTAACAGAGTTTCTTGCTCGATATTTAAGAAATAAAAAGTTTCTTTTCTTTTACTAGTTCCTTGATAAGCACTAGTAATCATAACAATTAATTGATGTAATTTTCTTTTTTTAGACATATTTGGTTAAATCAGAAATCCTTTGCGTTGTAAATTAGTAAGTAAAAACCGGGGATCTTTTTTTAAATATCTTTCGGTGGTGCGAAAAAGAGAATGACCTAAGAGTTGTTGGATAGAACTAGAATCTAATCCTAAATCATAGTGTAAGATACTAGCGAATGAGCGTCTTAAAGTATGCGGGGTAATAGTTCAGTTAAGATTTAATTCTTTACTTTTTTTCTGTAAATACTGTCAAACCGCAATGCGAGAAATGGTTTTCCACTTATCTTTGGTAGAGTTTAGTTTGGATTTTTTAGCGATATAAGAGTTATTGAGTAAATTAAAAACTAACCTTTGTTTGTTGCCTTTACCTCGGATCACAAAAGCTTGTTTGTCTTCTACTTTTACTGGTTGTCAAGTGAAATTAATAGCTTCACTCACTCGTAAACCTAAATAAGCCATTAATAACACGCATTCTAATAGTTTATCATTTCTTTGTAAGCAATAAAGATTAGAGGGAGTAATCACTAAGGTTTGCAGTTGTTGATAACTAAGAACTTGCTCTAATTGTTTTTTATTCATGCTTTTTTCAATCGATTAAATGTTGTTGATAGTTCGGACAGATATATTTCTCTGATGGATCTTCAATAGCACCTTTACATCCTCAACAGCCATTTCTAAAAGTTATTCATATTCTTCACTTTCTTGAGCATAATTATTCAATACTTCTAATAATTGACCATCAATAAGATCAATGATTTCTGAACATGCTTCTCTAATGTTAGTAGCATATTCAGGATCCAAGGTTTTGCGTAAACTAGAAAGATTAGTTCTGGCTTGAGTCAAATATTCTTGAATTTCTTGGAAGTATTCTCTGGCTTCGGCTTTTAGTTCTGGTTTACTCATAAAATTTCTTAAATTTCTCTAGTCCCTTTTCAATAACTTGCTCAACAAATTCTAACTTTTTGTTTTCTTTGATTTTCTTTTTCGCTAAAATAGTTTCAATCTTTACTTGACAGTCATTGCAAACTTCCAGGTGGTTATCCTCAAATCATTGGTTGTCCTGTCCATCGGCATAAGCAGTATATTGATTGCCATTAACACAATCTCCAGTGGGACAAGCATTAAAGTCACAACCATCACAACAGAAGCAATAAGAGCAGTTGTTATTAAATTCTGACATAATTCAAAATTCTTGTTTCATAATACTTATTCGTTAAGGTTCTAGTTTTTCCCCTAAAAACTTTTCTAATTCTTGGAGATTCTTTTCACATAAATAATAAACAGCTCCTTTAATAGATTACTAACTTAGTGGCTAGATTTCCACATTTGCATTTTGAGTTTGTCATATTTTGTTAAGTTAGGATAAGCAAAAATGTTAAGTTAGCAAGATAAAAAGCACTAAAATTAGGCTCTAACTTAACAATTTGGTTTCTTTTGTTAAGTGGATTCATTTCAATTATTAGCTTTCATAATTAGTTAGTTGGCTGACAGATAACTGCTCAGCAATTAGTGCAAGTTCAGCAAGCTGAGGATAATTTAACTCCTTCTTGACTGGTTTTGTAGTGTTGAATAGTTGCTATTTTTTGACAGTTAGGATATTTATATTCACAGGGTTTTGGGTTAGTCATGATTAGGAAATAATTTGTGAGTGTTTAATAAAACTCTCTTGAATAGTTAAGGTGCTATTTCAATTGCTTTAACTTTATAAAAAGTTCCGTTTTTATCTTTATTCGCTAATTCTTGATAAGTAATTAGCACTAACTGATTGATCAACTTTTCCGGAGAATATTTAAGCGTTTGCCAAGTCTTTTCGGATAAATTATGAGTAAAAGCATAAAAAAACTTGACTTCATTAGTTCACTTTACCGCAAGTTTGAAATAAGGATTTTGGTTTTTATCTAATTTGGATTCAATATCTTGAATGGTGGTTTTAACACTATATTCTTGGTTCATAGGGTTAGTTGTTTTTCTTACTCTCTAAACACTTAGAGCAAATATTTTCATGTTTCTCATCAATCCCAACTATTATTAGGTTTCTACATGCTTGACAACGATAAACTGTCACTTTTACTGAGTTTTCTTGTTTTTCTAACCTTTGGATGCCTTCTTTCAATAATTTACTAGCCTCGGGATATTTTTCTTTGAGAAATTCTAATATTTCTGCTTTGTCAGGAATTTGCTTCGTCATTATCTGACCTAAAAATATTAGTTCTTCCTTATTAAAATTAGACAATCTTCTTGCTAACTCTTTTAAAAGTTCTTGGTTAGTTAGTAAATCAGTATGGTTCATAATATGGTTAGAAAATTTCTAATTGACTTTTTTCTTTAGTGCATTGATCACAATGCTGTCCTTTTAGTTCTCAATGGTTCAGAGTAATAATTTCCTTAACTGGTTTCTTTTTTTGGCATTTAGGACATTTAATCCGAAAAAGATAAAGTAAAACACTGAGAGTGGTAATTATTCCTAAACTAAAAATTAGCAGGATGATGATTAATTCGCTGAGCATGATTTTTTCTTTTTTTTAACTTTTCTTTATAATGGGTGGGTAATAGATATTCGTAAGAATATTTTCTCCACCCTGCTATTTACTAAGACGCTTCACACCTAAGGTGTTCCGCTACCATTTTCTTATCTCTCATCTTTACGCTATCTTTAATGCTTTTTCAACAACTTATACGCTTCACCCCATAAATGGTGTTCCGTTCCCATTTTCGCTGTCGCTCAAATAAGAACTTTTCTCAATTAGCACAAACAATTTTCAACTTTTTTCAATTCTTTATTATTATTAGTAAGAATTGGTGTTGACTTTTTCCCTCTAGTCGTGGTTCGTTAGAACCTAAGACAACTTTAACAACTTATTGAGTTTTGAGAAACTAAATGGTGCTTTTTTACTTCGCTTTCAACCTTTCTAACTTTATATTGGCGAATAATTTAGCGATTGTTTTTTCGGCATTTTCAACACTATTTAGGAACTAAAAAACAAAGAACAAGAGAAAAAAATAAACCAAAAAATCCAACAAAAAAAATAAAAATTAAAAAGAGAATAAGAAATAAAAAAGATAAGGTGATTATTTGCTCTTTTATTATTCTTTCTCTTTCCGAAACTATAATAGTCTAAACGCTATTATCTAACTTAATAAGAAATAAATATAAAAGAGTCAGAGTTAATCAATCTCTGAAATAAGAGAACTTTCTTAAATTAAAGTTAGCAATTAAAAACAATCTACTATTTTTAATTTAGCAAGGTTTTTTTACCTTGAAATTAATGGTGCCTTGTAGAGGACTCGAACCTCCAACCCCCTGATTAAGAGTCAGGTGCTCTAACCATTGAGCTAACAAGGCCTTAAAGAATACAGTTAGAATAAAAAGTGCGTTTATTATCTATAATTTTGTGTATAAATGCTTTTTTAGTAGATTTATCTTGATTTTGCTTAAAAGATTGAAATCTAATATATTATTCCAATTAAGTTTCCCATAATCAACATTGAATATTTCCAAAATTTTTTTACTAGTTTGTGGAACGATATAACAGAGCAAGAAAGCGATAATTTTTATTCCATTAACTAAATAGTTTAGTGTCAAATTTAAAAGCAATCTCTCGCTTTTTTTTGACAATTCTCACGGAGCTAAATCTTGAATCAATTTATTGCTTCCATCAAGAAGAAATTGAATTTGAGAAAAAGCCTCAGTAAGTTCATATCGATCCATCATTTTTTGAAAGTTGTTTACCGATAAAACACATGAACTATAATAATTTTCTAATCTTGAATCTTTTTTTTCAGATGTGGACTTTGGAATAATTCCTTCATTGTAAAGGTAAATCATTTTATTTGTGCGAGAAACTAGATTACTTAAATTATTAACTAGAAAATCCTGGTAGAAGTTTTTTAATAAATTTTCATCGCAAATCCCATCTTGCAAAAATTTAACTTTTGCTACAAAATAGATTCGTAGTAAATCCTGAGGGTATTTTTTTAGTAGTTTTAAGGGGTCAATTACATTGCCTTTGCTTTTACTCATTTTTCCTTGAGAAGTAGTCAATCAACCATGAGCTAATATTTTGTTTGGTGTTCTTTTGTTTAAAGAAAAAAGAATAATCGGTCAATAGATAGCATGAAAGCGAGTTATTTCTTTACCGATAAGATGAACAATCTCGCAAGTAGTTGGTTCTTCTTCGTTAGTTAGTTTTTCTAACAAGTATTTAGTTACTTTATCTTGGTCTTGAGAGTTAATTTCCTGTATTTTACTTATTTCTAAGAACTTAATTTCTCCAATTGTCTCTTTTTCTTTGATTAGTAGTTCTCCTGAATATTTTTCGGTTCGATAAAAATAAAATTTTCACCAAATATTATTAACATAAAAAGTTTCTTCGCTAATCTTCTTCAAATCCTCAACCACTAAATTAGTTTCTTCAAATATCTCCCTTTTTGCTGCTTCCTCAGCACTTTCTCCTTCCTCTAATTTACCGCCGGGGAATTGTCAAATATTAAATTTTTTATTATAGACCAAAAGGTAATTATTGACTTTATTTTTGATAACTACACAAGAGACCTCTTTTGCATTGTTTTTTCCTTCGTTATAATAGTCAGAAGAAGAAAGAAAAAATTTTTCTCCTGGTTCAGAATTAAGGTAGTTAAGCAGAGCCTCGAATCAAACATAAATAACCATTTTTTCATGGCTGGGAACTGGAATTCCTCATTTAATATCACTTCGAGTAATACATAAATCTTGAACCTCGCTTTTGAGAAAATTTTCAAACAATTCTTTTTTAATGTTAGCAGGTAAAAGGAAGTTGGGATTTTGCGAATAAAATTTTAATAGTTCGGAATAATATTTGCTAACTTTCAAAAAATAGGCTGGTTCGTCAATTTTTCGTAATTCAGTTTGGCAATTAGGAGTCGGACAAAGGTTGCTGCCGATAATTTTGCTTTCGCTCACATAATCCTCACAAGCAACGCAGTATTTTCCTTGATATTTGCCCAAATAAATGTCTCCTTTGCTTAATAATTCTGTGAAGATTTTTTGAACTTTTTCTTTATGAATATGAGAAGAGGTGCGGTAAAAAATATGTTCAGAAATGTCTAATTCTTTTCACAACTGTTTGAATAGGAGAACGTTTTTATCAACCAGTTCCTGAGGAGAAATTTCTAATGAGCCAGCCCTTTTTTCAATTTTTTCTCCATGATCATCACTACCAGTTTGAAAATAGACTCGGTAACCCCGGCTTCTCTTGTAGCGTGCAATAATATCAGCCAAAACCATCGCATAAGCGTGACCCAAATGCAAACGATCATTAGGATAAAAAATCGGCGTGGTTATATAAAAAAGTTTCGACATACGAATATAAGTAATTTTGAGAATGGCGGGTCAAAAATAAATTATACTTTTAATAACCTTGAAAAACCAAAAAAATAAATCCAGTTTATCTAAAAAACAATTTTTCTTAATTTTTCTTGCTTTTTCATTCCATTTAATAGGAATTATTTCCTCTCTTTTACGTCCTAAAATGGATCCTGATTTTCATTTAACTTTCCACCTTCTTCGTTTCTTTTCCTGGTGATCAGTTCATTCCTCAATCTTAGTCGTTTTAGCAGCAGCAATTTTAATATATAAAAAAAAAATAACTCCTACTTCATATTTCTCTCAATTTCTTATCCTTGTTGCGACAGTATATAACTCAGTTACTTTTGGCTTTATTTCAGCCTATTTTTTAACTGGAAAAATCAAAAGTTATGGTGTCTTATTAGACTTACAATTGTTTACTTGGCATTGTGTTGCTCCCCTTTTAACTATTCTCTATTTTTATTTTTATGCTCAGATAGACAAATTAAAAGAAAAATTAGCAAAAATTTTGACAACATTTTCGCTGGCTCTTATTTTCCCTGTTCTTTATTTTCTCTATGCTTTTATCTTGGCTAAAGTTCATCGAGATAACCCAGAAGGAAGTTTATTTCCTTACATGGAGCAATATCCTTATTACATTTTTGCATGAATAATCGAAAGAAGATGATACTTTATTGTTACTAACGTTTTAATTGCCTCTCTGGCTTTTATTTCTCTTTGTTCTTTGATCCTCTGAACAAAAAGCATTTTGGACAAAAAGTTAAAAAATTAACTTAATATGGAATTGTCCTTAGAGGAATTACGCAGAAAAAAATTAACCAATTTATCACAAAGCCCTTTTCAACAAACTAAATTTTCTATAACTAGCAGTGCCGAAAAAATTATTAACTTATTTTCTCAATTCAATAAAGAAGAACTAGCAACAAAAAAACAAAAAGTAAATATAGCAGGAAGAATACTAAGAATAAGAAGTTTTGGCAACTTAACTTTCTCTAATTTAGTTGACCAAACTGGAACTATTCAGTTAAAAGTTAGTAAAAATAAAGAGTTCATGGGGTTAGATATTGGCGACATAATTGGTATAAAAGGGACTATTTGTAAAACCGATAAAGGCGAATTAAGTGTTGAAGTAGAAGAATTTGTTTTATTAAGCAAATGTTTAAAACCACTCCCGGACATTCATTACGGATTTAACGACACCGAAGAAAGATTTCGTAAGCGCTACTTAGACTTTATTATCAATTCTGAAAACAAAAAAATTCTAATTACTCGGCATAAGATAATCCAAAGCATTCGCCAATTTTTAGAGCAAAAAGAATTTATTGAAATTGAAACTCCTGTTTTAGTTTCTGAGGCTTCTGGAGCGCAAGCCAAACCTTTCATTACTCATCATAATAAATTACACCGAAATTTTTACTTACGAATTGCTACTGAAATCCCATTAAAAACACTTTTGGTAGGAGGATTCGAAAAAGTTTATGAAATAGGAAGAATATTCCGAAATGAAGGAATAGATGCTCGTCATAACCCAGAATTTACTACCATTGAAGTTTACCAGGCCTATGAGAATTCTGAATATATGATGAATTTAACTGAGGAAGTATTTCATTATTTATCCAAAAAAATCCTTAAAAAAGAAGAGATTGAATTTAATTCTCATGTCATTAGTCTTAAAAATCCTTTTCGCAAATTGTCAATGATAGAGGCAGTTAAGGAACATACTGGAATAGATTTTTCCCACATAAATAATTTAGATAAAGTCTTAGAATTAGCTAAAAAACATAACTTAAAATTAGAAAAATTTCAAAAAACTATCGGGCACGTCATTTTGGCCTTTTTTGAAGAATTTGTGGAAAAAAAATTAGTTCAGCCAACTTTTATTTATGATTATCCAATTGAAGTTTCTCCCTTAGCCAAAAGTAAATTAGACAATAAAAATATTGCTGATAGATTTGAACTTTATATTGGCGGATTAGAGTTTGCTAATGGATATAGTGAGTTAAATGACCCGATTGAGCAAAAGAAAAGGCTTGAAGAACAAACTAAACAAAAAGAGTTAGGTAATGAAGAAATTGCCAGTTTTGATAAAGAATTTTTAGAAGCCTTGGAGTACGGAATGCCACCAGCCGGAGGATTAGGGATTGGGATTGATAGATTAATAATGTTATTTACCGGTCAAAATAGTATTAAAGAGGTGATTGCTTTTCCACAACTAAAAAGCAAAGAAAGTTAAAATTTTAGTATATTACAAATAGCAAATTAAATTTCCACTTTCGCTTTTCAAGAAAGAAGTATGAAAAATAAACTTACAAAAAACAATCCGATAGATAAAGATGGATATCCAATAAAACGAAGTGAAATGTGCTTTAAGTGCGACCAAAGTTTTGTCCTAACTTTTTCATTTTCTCGACAAAACTATTCCCTTAAAAACTTTTGAAATTATTGAACTGAGAAAGAAGAAGACCGAGAAAAGTATATTTGTTCACCATGTTTACGAAATTACTACTTTAATGAAAGAAAAAAATGTTTAGCAACCGTTAAAGATTTAAAGAAAACTCATTTGAGAACTTATATTGGTCGTAATATTTTATAACATATTCTAGGAAAGGACATTATCTTTTTTTAAAAGAGATACATTAAAGTCTTTAAAATAGGATATTATGGTGATACCATCAAATTTGCCTAGGTCTTATTGAATTGAAGAAAGACAAACACAAATTAACAAGGTTGAGGAAGGAGAGGTGAGATATTGTCCTAAGTGTCTCAGATGAGTTGAAAAGAATGATTTTGCTCATCATACTTTAAAACTTGCGACTTTGTGTTCCTTACAATGAGAACAATTAATAAGGTCAATACACTTCATTGACTTCTCCGCTAGACAAAAGTTTAGACAATCATTATAACATGACAAAACATTGTAAGAATTGCCACAAGAACTTAGGGGATAATTGGTGTAATATAATAAAAGTTAATTTCACTGCTGAGGAACGAGAGGAGGAAATTCATTTTCACATTAATTCCCAACAATCAATAGGAGATGTCTGTAAAGATTGTTTAGATTTAGTGAAAGACAATTATAACAATCACATTTTCAATCTTAACCTTAATAATGGGGCTTGACAGAATACTATTTGCCCTTGGTGTGAACAACCACAAGGAGGTGTAATATTTCTCCAAGATTGTAGTAAAGTATTAGACCACTACATGGAATGTCCTAAAAAGAAGCATTTATCACCCCCAGCAGAGAGAGAGAGAGAGAGAGAGAGACGAAATATCAGCAATTATACAATATTTCATCAAGCACAATATCAAGTCTATCAAACTGAGGAATGGCAAATTAACAATTGAATATAACGATTCTACTACTGAAGAAACATACTTAACTACTAATGAATTAGCACAGATTTATAGTTACTGTCAAAAACAAGGTTTAACTTCTTTAAGTTTAAGCGATTTACAAAAAACTAATTCTGAAAAACCAACTAATTGAACCCCTTGAATAATTGGTAGTATTTTGTTGGTAGGAATAATAGGCTTAATCATTTATTTCACCACTAGAAAGAAAAATGAATAAACTCAAATTAACTCCCCAGCAAATAAATAAGCTTTTAGAAAGATTTACCCAACAAGAACTAGCTGAGATTTTTGAAGTTAGTGCTAGAACCATCAGAAATCAAAAGAAAGAAAACAACAAACCTAAGAAAAAAAGAGGTCGCGAAGCTGAAATAAGTGGCAAACTCCTCTTTAATTTATTCTACTTTCTTATTGGTCAAGGGGGTAGAAAGAGTTATACCCAGCAAAAGATGGCTGACTATCTTTCTAAAAAGGCAGGTAAGAAAATAAGTAAGTGATCCGTATCCAGAGCATTAAAAAAACTTGAATTTACTCGGAAGAAACTAAACAACCATTATTCAGAGCAGTTAAACCATCTTCAAAAAGTAAGTAGATTTAAAAAACTATTTCCTTGCTTACCTCAAACCGAAATTATTGCTTTGGACGAATGTGGCTTTCACTTGAACGAAACACCCCGCTATGGTTATGCTTATAAGAGTTTTCGAGCCAATTATAGAAAGCCAAGTTACTTAGGCAATAACCATACTCTAATTCTTTGTATTCAGAATATAGCAAATAAAGGAGTAATCCATTATGAGTTGATTGAGGGAGGAATGAAAACCAAAAACTTCCATAATTTCCTTACTAATCTTAAACTTCCTACTAATGAAAAACATTATTTGATAATGGATAATCTAAAAGTTCATCATGCTAAACAGTCATGTATTAAACTAGGACTTACTACTATCAAGGAATTATTGGCAAGTAAAAATATTGAACCAGTTTACTTACCTCCTTATGACCCAGAAATGAACTCAGTTGAATATTGTTTTAACCTGATTAGGCAACAAGTAGAAAAGAATAAACCAAGAACCTATGAAAAGTTAAAGTCAATAATAGATAAAATTATAGGTATGTTAAACGAGAAAGATTTAACTCAATATTTTAGGCATTGTCAAAATTATAACTTTAAAGGAGAAGTAAGTAATTTGGTTAATCTTCCATTTTGGAAATGATTGTATAAGGATAGTTGAGGAGAAGCAAATCCTAATTTACTAATAAAAAATGAATTAAAAAGTGGAAAAGAATTTCGCAATTTGTAATAGTTAGCATGATAAAAACTTATAAGTTGGGGGAGATTTGTAAAATCAAAGGAATTATTGGCTGAAATGTCCCAAAAGGAATAAATAATCCTATTCACCAAGAAAAAGGAACGATACCTTACTATCAAATAAAAGACATTCAAGCAGAAAATTTAAATCCTAATAAAAAATTCACTGTTGAAGCAGTCAGCAAGTGAAAATTGCCTCTAACTACGGAAAATTCTTTACTTTTGTCAACTATCGGCACCGTTGGAAAAGTCTTTTATCCTGGCAAAAAAAATTGTGCTTTTGCCAGCACTATTATTTGTTTAGAACCTAACCTTAATTTAGTAAGTCCTAATTATTTGTATTATTTGCTTAACAGTCAAGAAAAAAGAATAAAAAGTTTAGCAGTTGGTAGTGCTGTTCCTATGTTAACTAAAACAGCTCTTTCAAGTTTACCAATTCCCCTCCTTCCTCTCCAAGAACAAAACCAAATCCTCCAAAAATTTCAAATAGTTTATGATAAGATATTTAAGTCTGAGATAGTTTATAATAATAGACTTTTAGAGATAATTAAGACCATTTTGGAATATGCTGATTTGCTTTTTTTTCAAGATATTCGTTTTTAATTAGCATGAAGCTTTTGTTGAAAATTTTTTTTTTATTATTTTTTTGTTTAATATCCTTGCCTAGTCCTAGATAGTTCTCTTTTTATTTCTCTTAGTTCATTGGTAATAGAGTTAAGAGCATTGATTAGTTGATTTAATTGAAATGTGTCTATATGTACTGGTTCTGACATAATTATAATATTATTTTAAGTTTATTTCTTTATTATTATTACTTTACTCCCACTATCTTTTTTAGAATTGGATAATTTACCTAGTTTACCAATTCCTTCTCCTCCCGCTCCACTAAATAATAAACCACGTAAAAAGAAACCAAAAACGGTTAATAATCCTAGACCAATAAAGTATCAGAAAGGACGAAAACCCCCCATTTCGATGGCTTGTCATTTTCCTACAATGGCGGTTAATATTTTCGCACAAAATTTAAAAATTTCAATCATAACTTTTAATTTCTTTTAAAGAGGCAATTTAAACAAATTTTAAATTCGCCAATTTCACTTCCTAATAATACTATTTTTTGACACAAAAAACATGGCTCAAACATATTTAACTTACATTTACTTGGGGTCCTTCCTTATCTCCCTTACTAACAGGAGCACTTTTTCAATTACTCGCTACTCACACGACATTATTTAAATGAAAAATCCCTTGCACCCCAATATTTAACAAACCAGGAAAAGCAAACCAACTATTTAACATTCCCATAATCATGAAAAACAACCCTCCACACGTAGAAGCAAGGAGGATAATTCACTTATTATCTCACATACTTTGTAAAGCACTTTGGGCGTAGCCTCACATTCACTTCCCCACACTTTTTAAAAGGTCTTTAAAACTGGGCAATAAAGCCACTAATCATTCTACCATAATAATATTTTATATTATTATTTTAGGGCTTTGGTAAACGTTCTACTACTTCTCAAACTTTTCATAATTTGAAAACATAATAGAGTAGAAAACAAACCATGATAAAAGTAGTGAGGGTTAAAATCCGAAAAAACCACTTTCAGTAATATTCATTTTTTTCTTTTTTATTTTCGTTAGATTCGACTATCATATTTTTTTATTTATCTTTTTTTAGTTACGGAGGCCAACACGGACATTAACATTCCCATAAAGACAAAGATATAAGTTAAAGGGTGCGACATGACCACTTGCCAGTAAGGCTGATTCGCACTCATTCCCTCTTTCATTTCTTGGGGAGCCTGACTAATTAAGTCTTTTAATTTATAAATACTTTCTAAACTTTGGGTTCAAGAAAATTTACCATCAAAATTATTATCGGTGGTGGAACCGACACTTTCATCACCTGCCCCGGCCGAACGGTTAGCATTATCAGCAAAATAACTACCTCATTGGAAGGCATTTTCCCCGTGGGTAAATTGCTCGTTTTCTTGGGCTTGTAATTGCTCTTTTTTAGTCTCATCCGCTTTTTCATACTCTTTAAATCTATCGCGTCTTTCTTGGGTGTCCTCTCCTTTGGGACCATACCGCGGATTACTATTTACTTGTTCTTCAAAAATTTTATCTTTTTCCTCCTTGGTTTTTTTCTGAAAGGCTTCCCGTTGGGCTTGGTGAGAAGTTAAAGTTTCAAACACCTTTTTTTTATCCTCTTGGGTTTTAGCGGAATTTCAAGCACTTTTTAAATTATCTTTTTCCTCTCTACTGAAAACCGGGTTATTCTCCACCATTTGGTTAAAAAGGGCTTCTTGGGTAACTGGTTGACAATGGTCAAAAAGTTTATTAAGTAATTCAGCAACTTTTTCGGGTTTATTGCTTTGGGAAATTCGCTTAATTAAATTAGCAATCAAAGCTTCATCCGTAAAAGCAGTGTTTAAGTTTTCAAACTCACTTTTAGATAGTCCAATATCTTTTAAATCTTGTTCTGAAACTGCTTTTTGATTAGCTTCTCTACTTTGAGGAGTTTCATTTTTGCTCCGTTCTTGTTGGTCTTTATTTTGACTGTCAATTAATCCTAAGGCATCGGGTCCTAATCTCACTAAGGTTCCGCGGGCTTCTTTAACTATTCTCCCCACTAATTCGGCTAAATTTTTAGCTGGGTTGGTACTTAAACGAACACCACAAATTTGTGAAATTCGTTCAGTAGTTCAATCAGAAAATAAGAGATAATGAGAATAGCCGTTATGGGGGTTGATAGTGCGAATGTCGTCTCCTGCTCAATCGTAGTTGCTTTCTGAATAACTTATTTGATTTGTTATTCATAAGACAGAAGTTTTAGGGGCATTGCCTCAGTCGATAGCACGACCAAAACCAGGGCTTTTGCTCATTACTCCTTTATCTCGTAATACTCCAATAAAGTGGTTGGTATCGTTGAGATCATAAGCATTAGCCTGATTACGGAACATGCGAGTAAAACGATAAGATTTTTGTTTGACACCAGGAACACCAATTTTAACGTCTCCGCTTGTTTGCCAAGGTCAGTTTTTCCAACCAATCTTATCAGCCCGAGAGTCATTACCACGAGCACCAGAGATTAGTAATCGATCTTTCTTTTGCTCATCCTCCAAAGCGTCATCCTTGACTAACAATTCAAAGCCTTTTTTATCAGGGTTTTTAGCTCAAAAGATATTGTGGTAAATAGCACTAAAATCACTTTTTTTGTCTTCTAATCTTTTCAGTTCCAATTGTAAAGTAACTAAATCACCTTCACCGTGAGAAACTGCGAAAGTGGCAGGGTCAAAAACACAAAAACCAGGAAGGTTATTTCTATTATAAATATTAATAGTAAAAGCAAGCCACGGCATTTTTTCTTTGTCTCCTGACATAATACTATTTGGACCCAGACTTAAATCTGGTAAAGGAGAGGAATGGTTTTTTTGCCCATCTTGTTCAAACTCTCCTTTTAATTTATTTAATAGATTATTAAGATCGGAACTGTTAAAATTAGTTTCTTTGGGCGGAGGAATATTTTCCCGATTACCTTTAATTTCCTCTTGGGCGGCTTTCCGGGAAGGGGAAGGTACTCTGGGAACTTGAACCGGTGGTCCGTTAAAAAAAATATATCTTAATTCTGATATATGTCCTCCCTCTCCATTTAAAACTTGTTCAGGGGTTAATTTTCTTTTATCTCGTAAAAACTCGGCGAACTTACTCTCACTAGGTTTTAGACCGATATTAATTCATTCGCAGGTTTGTTCTTTACTAAAACCCTTACTGGTTCATTCTTTAACTAAATTAGGGTTATTTCTAAATTTAGGGTCAATAGTGCTCCAATCATTTTCTGCTCTTTCTCGCTCTTTTCTTTCTTTGTTCTCCCTTTCCCTCCTTTCTCTTTCTTCTTGCTCTTTGGCATAATTGCGATTTATGCCACTCTCATCTTTATCAATTTTAGAGGCTCAATCTTGTCCTAACTGGTCCGCCAGCATGGCCGCACTAACTTGCCCTAAAATTTCCTCTTGGACTTTTTGGAATTGGTCCAAATTAGTGGGTGAAGTAGGATTATCGGAACCAAAAATTTTTTGGAATAAATAAGTTGCTTTTTCTGCTCCAAATTTTTTATTTAATTGACTTTTAACGGAATCAACAAAACGCGTTCATTGTCCGAGGTTGATATTCTTGCCTCCGCCCGCATATCCTTTATTTCTAATTAGAATATCTAATAATTGAACTCTAACTCTTAATTCATAACAAGTAGTTAAATATTCCTTTAAAGCATCCAGGCGGGGTGAATACTCTTCATATTTACTTTCCCCGACGTTTTCCGCTCAGGCCGTATCTATGATCCTTGTTTGCGGTCTTAAATCGGGGTAATTTAAATTACTAGTGCCATTTAACACTCTTTCAGGGTTAGCATAAATACCTAACCTTAAAGAACTAAATCATTGTTCGTAAACTCCGCCCGAAAAACTTAAAAAATCTTGTCGCACTAAATGGTTATAAAAGTAACGCATGGCTTCCAGTGATAATTCCTTGTTATAACGGAAACTTTTATAATACATCTGTTCCTTTTGGCTGGAATCCTCCCGAGAACCGATAAAAAAAGGTTCTAGGTTATTATTAACCAGCTCATAACGGTCAATTTCACTATCGGTAAGAATTGAATAATAAACGGCCTGGTTAAATAATCTTTGCTTGACCGTTGGTCCGGCTTTTTCAAAAAAATCTCAAATTTTAGGAGAACAGCGTTCATTACCTAAAAGAAATTGTTTTTCCTCGGCTGGTTTGAGAGGCGGTAAACCTAATTGTAGGTTTTGAACTTGAAAATTTTTATAAATTTTTAACTCGGCTTCGCCTTCTAATTTTTCTAAATCTTTTTCGGTAAATTTGGAAATGGTCATAATATTGGTTAGGTTCTGATTTTTTTCTTTTACTTCGTAAGAACCATTTTTTTCATCACTTAATAATTTACAAAAAGTATGAAAAAAATTAAAAATCAGAAAAAGGTTTTATTAAAAAAATATCGTTCGCCGAAAGCGAGACGACAAAACCCACACAACTGGGCAGAATTAGCGGGTTATACACACCGCGATTTTAAACGGTGAGGTAAAGAAGGAGGCCGACCACGGAAGTATCTAACTAACGCCCAAAGGCAAAAGGCTTATCGTTTACGAAAAAAAAATAAATCATTCCTTCACCCCCGGTAGCGGTCAAGGAGAGGCATTTTTTATTCATGCCAAACGCTTTTTGACCGCCGATAACTAGCGTTAATCTTACCGGTGGTTACGGAACTTATAAAGTAAAGAATTTAGTGCTATAAGTTATAGAAAACGCAATCCCCGTTAACATTCATAAGCTCATAAATAAATAACCTTTTCAGTCTAGTTTTGAACTGAACTTTAAATCTAAATAAGCGTAAAATAGTCCAATGACTATGACTATAAAAAAAATTGCGTCATATAAAATTTTCAGTATCATTTTTATTTTTTTCTTAAAAAGAATTTGGAGAAAAATTTTCTTTTAATTGAACTCGTTTAAAATTAGTCTTTTCCTTATATTAGCGTTACAAAAGCTTCTATTTAGGTTCTATAAAAAAAGTTAATGATTAGATTTTTTTCTGGTAAATCAACCTTTTATTTTAGTTCAAAAAATTTTTCAAGAATTTTGCTTTGGTTTTTCTTGAACGGTAAAGAATTCCTGTTTAATCACATCTTTTAAAGTATTAGGAACCGGAACTTGTCCGGGAGGAATAATTTTTTTAGTTCTTTTTTCATTCAGAATTGGTAATAAAGCCCCAAAGAATTTAGTATCGTAATTTTCAAAATCCCTTTTTTGTAAGAAAAGTTTGTAATTCCGAATATTTAAACGCTTTTTAGCTTGGTCGTAATCATTACCACTAAATACCGAAAAAAAACCCCCTTTTTGGTAAGGTGCCATGTTAGAACTTCATTCTTCGGCTAATTTAATATCTTCGTAAATTTCTAATCTTAACACGGAAGTTCAAGGCAAAAAGAAAGGAGTATAAACTCCTTGGACTTTAATATAGATATTGGCAATGTCGCGAATGGCGATCCACAATTGCGGAGTTCGTTGTAAGCTGAAAAATACTTTTTTACTAAAATGACGAGCCAAAGCACAAAAATCCTCAATCCCCGAATGATTTTTTTGGTTTTTAGTATATTCTACGCCGCGAAAATATAAATTGACTTCATCAATGAAATAATTCGCTTCGCCTTCGGGAATTTGATATTTACCCCGCACATCCATCAAGTCCATTAATAATACTCGATTATCTTTTTTCCTATGTCAGAAATTAGTATAAGTATTATCCAATCTATTCACTAGCCAGGAAAAAAGGAGACTTTTTCCCATGCCTAGCGAACCAAAAACGACCGCTAAACTAACTTGCTCTTTAATTAATTTCTGAAATTGATATTGACTTCATTTAATTAATAATCATTGAACTAAACTAATTCCTAAACCAATTAAAAGGATTCATTTAACTAAACTTACCACTCTAACTGACTAATTATAAATTTAATAACTTCCCAAACTATTCAAACTAATTTATAGAGCAAAAAGACCACCATAAAGGTTGAAACTAACATTACTATCTGCTCGCTTCCTTGGCTTTCTTTCATTCCTAAACCTTGATGAACAATTTTACCTACAAAATTACTGATGAATTTTAAGGAACCATTTTTAAATAAATCTTGATAGTTCATAAATTAACGACCCTTAAACATTCATTTCAGCAGATAATAAGGAGTTAGTGCCAATAAAACTAATAATCAAAAACCAAACAAAGCCGAAATCAATCAAAGCGTATCTTTGGCAAATTGTCCCTCAATTTTAGCCCCGTTCATTTTCTCCGCTAATTGGAGAAAAACGCTATAAACTCCGTTCATTTTTTTTATTTTTTATCTTTATAGACTTCGGCATAACTTTCTAATCAGCCACTTTTTCCTCAGGTTCTTTCCCCTTCAATATTCCTTAAAAAGCCACTATAAAAAATTTCCTCTCCGCTTAAATCATTACTAACTTTCAAAACTATTTTTTTAAATTCTTTACCGTCTTTCCCACGATAATTTACAATGTATACTCTCATATTCTTAAAATGCTTTACTTTTCCTCATTTTTAATTTCCGCTAGCCGCCTAAATTCATAATCTCTAAATTGGCGGGCGATACACCCACAGCAAGCACCTATATCAGGGCTTCACCGAATCCAAAATTGTCGGCTTTCTTTTTCTTTTTCACAATAAATACAGATTCTCATGTTTCCTTTATTTAATGAGAGAAAACATAAATCAGCCCAAAATTGCTAAACCAAAAGTTCAGTAAAGAACTGATTTAATGATTTCTCACGATTTTTCGTTAATTTTTAATTTTTTTCACATCACACTTTACTAGTTTTTTTAGTAGCCAGTAATTAACTTGCGAACCGTTTTAATTCCTAAGAAAATTAGGTAAAAACCTAACGGGAGTAATAAAACTGGATTGGCTTGTAAAAAGCCTAAAAATTTAATTACTATCCCGGCTCCTTCCGTAACCGCTTTGTTTCCTTCTCCGGTAGTCTTTCCCATCGAAAACAACAAGTCTCAAGCTGCACCGACCACTATTTGTATTTGTTCAAACATATTTTTTTTTGTTTTGTTTTTTTTGGTAAAAAATACTTCTAGTTCATGACCTATCCGCACCTTTTACGCGTTCCTTTTCTATTTACCTTCAACTTACAATTTTCACAACGTCTTGTATACTTCTTTTCAGTTTTCGGAGGGGAGAAAAAGGCAATAACCCTTATTTTTTAATAATCCGCATATCTTTTGGCGGCCGCTTCATAATCTAACCCAAAGGAGTAATTATTTCCGCTAATTTGCGATCTAATTTCTTTTAAATAAATGTGATTATAAATTAACTCGTTCGGAATACTTTCTTTTCATTCAGGAGTTATTTTTTCATCGTCTTCCTCTAATAATTCATACTCGTTAATTTCTTTATTTCACGGCAATTTAGCGGCACGGGCAAATTTAAGATAATCCTCCTCTTTTACTTGGTAATCTTGAAATTTAGTAAAGGAGGGAAGTTTAAGTTTATTAAGAGATGGTAAAATAAAGTCATGAAAATTTTGGTAAGCTTTGGTGCCTTTAAAGGCAAATTCTCACCTAATTAAAGGTTCCGTGTGGTGGTCGTGGCTAATCGGACACCTAATCTTTCACCCTCTTTCTTTATTTCAATAATGATTTTCCTCGCTGGTGTCGCAAGGTTTTCAGAATTGGTTTTTTTTAATGGAACTGGACGAACATAAAGAAAGGCAAAGTTTTAAGATTTGAGGCAAATTATAACTTTTTTGGGGTTCAGATTTAATTTTTTCGCGTTTTGATAAAATTTGCTTGAAATTTTTCTTTAACTTTAAATCGTTGGTAAAATAAGGACTAAACTCTTTTTCGACGACTTCCTGGAAGCCGTAATCGTCATTAATGAAAACTTGCGAGGAAGTAAGTGGTTTTTTTCTTTTTTCAACAATATAAGTGTGATCGCTATCATAACCATAGATAACCCGAAAGAATTTATAAATTCCCATGCTCGGTAATAATCCTACTTTTTCGGCTAACGCTTTATTTTCTCGCATTTGGAAAGATTTCGCTAAATATTTGACTAAATAAGCAATTATCGCTTCGGCACTTTTAATAGGTTTACCACCGACTTTTAAATGACTAACCCTTTTCATATCTACTAAGCCATAAGGTCAAATATCGTGGGCAATATAACCGCGATGGTCCCAACAACCCAAGGGGGAACCTGCCTCGGAACATTGACCTAAACCACACTTTTCATGCCGATACCTTTCCGGTAAGAAATCAGTGCTAAGTAAGTGAATATGTCAATTTCTTAAACATTCGTGTTTTTCTGAGTGAGAACAGTTTTTTTCACTGTGGTTTTTTCAGCCTTTTCGCTTGGTTTTTTTACCTTTTCAATGGCAGGTCGTTTGACACTTATGGAGTTCGGGAACCGCCACTCATTTAAAATTAGTAGGTTTTCAAACTTTTTGGATAGTTTGGATGGCTTTTAAAAATAAGTCATTTACTCCTTCTATTTCCCGTCCTAACCTTTTTTTAGCGGTTTTCTTTTCGGCTAAAAAAGAACTAGTTTCCACGGGAACAGTTTGGTAAATATGTTCTCGGGAACAATTGGCAAAGACACACTTTTTATCTTTCACCGTTCAAGCGGCAAACGAAAAAGGCATATTTTCTTTAAAATTATTAAAGGTTCAAGTAGAAAAGTATAGTCCCCGCCCGAAATCCTCGCGGGTGAAATTCATAATTATTCCGGCTTTGAAATTTCGCAAAGAAGCATAATAATGACCTTTATATTTCAGTTGTGAAACTAAATTATAAATTTCTTTTTCCTTTTCTTGGTCATGGCAAATGGGAGTTGGTCAACCTCTTTTACCTTGTTTATAAATTCCTAAATTTACCTGACCGAAACTTACTTTTGCTTTTTTGATTTCTGGTCCAAAGTCGGTTAGGGAAAAATTAGTTAATTTCCCTGAACTAGCACTATCCGCAAAAAGATCCGTAAAGTTTTCGATATTAGAAATTTTACTAGCAAAATTACTGTCAAAAGTAAATTCGTTTTTTAGTTAAATATAAGGACAACCAAATTAAAATTAAAGATCATTTTCAGTTAGTTTGTGGTAAAACTCCGCCCACAAAAAACCCTAAATATTACCAGAATGGCACAATTAAGTGAATTAATAGCGGAATTTTAACTAATCTTTACTTCCTTACTGAGTTTACAAATTCCAGCAAGTTGATTACTGAAAAAGCAGCAAAGGATTGTAACCTTAAGTTTACTCAACAAAATTCAGTACTGATTAACCTAATAAGTGGAAGCGAGGGAGAATTTAACTTAACTTGAAGCCAAAGTGAAAATTATACTTTTAATCAATCAGTAGTAAATTTTTGTTATCAGAAAAACCCAAATTATTATATTTCCGCCACGCTTTTTTTTGCTTTAAGAAAAATAGACTTTAAAGTTTATGCTGGTGGTAGCGTTTTTAATGCTTTAACAAAAAATAGTTTAGAGAAAGTGAAAATTAACTGAGTTTCCAACCTAGAAAAACAAAAAATCTTTTTTGCTATTTTAAATAGTAAACTAGTGAAAATCAAAGAGTTGCAACATAAGATCAAAGAGTTGCTTTTACAAAAATATTTTAATCTTTAAAATATGCTAGATAATTTTACCAACGGTCTAGAAAAATTAGGTTGAAAAAAGGCCGAAATTAACAGGGAAAACATTAACCAAGTTGTTGACAAAACTAAGTTGTTGACAAAGCTTTGTGAAGTTAACCAGCTTGTTCCTCGTGATTTTATTCAAAAATATGTTGATGAAATCTGCAAAAACTCGGCAACTTCACTCCTTTACGAAAACAAAGAGATATTCAAATTAATTCGCCAAGCAAGGGACTATGGTAAATACAAAGTAAATTTTCTTCACAAAGATTGCAAAAAGAATAACTTTACTTATTCACTTAATTTTCAGATCAAAACTGATGACCAAAAGCACACTTTTCTTCTTGATTTAATTCTGTTTATCAACCACCTGCCTTTAATTATCTTTGTAAACAAAGAGAGCAAAGAAAGATGCTTTCACGAAGTCGAAAAGTACAAATTAAACCTGCGACAACTTTATAAATATAACCTTTTTAGTATTTTGCAAACAAAGCATAATGTTTTTGTTGGAACAATTACTGACGAAATTTCTAACTACTTTCCATGACGACCAAATGTTCATCAATTACTCTCACAACAAACTTTATTAGATATTTTTCGTAATTATGTCGCTTTTCCTTTGGGGGAAGGAGAACACAAGAAAATAATGGCTCGCTATTATCAATATTATTGTGCGAAAAAAATTCTTTGTTCTGTAAAAGAAAAAAAACAAAAAGGTGGGGTGATTTGGCATACTACTGGATCAGGAAAGTCTTTAACAATGATATTTTCAGTTGGAAAAATTCTAACTGATTACCCCCAAAGCACAATTTTAGTAGTTACTGACCGCCAAGACTTATACCAACAACTATATGGATTTTTTACGGAATTTTCTTTCTTAGTCCCTCATGAAAGCATTGATGGAATTCAATCCATTCAGCAGTTAGTAAAACTTTTGAAAAAGCCCAACCGTGGCAAGGTAATCTTTACCATCCTTCATAAGTTTCAAGATTGGCTAGGCAACAATTGAAATGAATTTAAAAATTCTGATGGTGTTTTTGTATTTATCGATGAGGCTCACCGTTCTCAAAATTTGAAATTCCAAGAAGATAGATTCAGTTACGCACGGATAATGCGTCAAATTTTTCCCGAAGCTTACTTTTTTGCTTGGACCGGAACCCCTATTAATACCGAAGAAAAATCTACTTATATGGAGTTTGATTCTCCCCTGGAGCCGCTACACTCGTATTCTACTAAACAAGCCATTGATGATCAAATAATTATCAACCAAATATTTTACCAACACTATCCTCTTTCAGCCGACAATGCTTTTCAGCAGATGATTAGCAAAATAAAAGCTGACTATGAAAACCTAAAAAATCAAAAAAACCTCCTTCCCAAATTTCTGGTTATGGTCAAAGACAAAAGTGAAGGTCGTAAGTTTTATGAGTTATTCATTCAGGATGAAAACTACAAAGAAGTTGTTTGTTTAATAATTTCACCAGGAGGAGACATAACAAAAAACATTGATGGTAACAAAGAAGCAATCCAAAAATTTAAGAAGAATAACTTTCCAAACATAGCTATTGTTGTCAATATGTTAACCACCGGCTTTGATTTACCAAGCTTACGAGTAATTTATATTGCCAAGAAAATTAATAGTCCTAGTGATTTTTGACAAAGAATCTCTCGCGTTAATCGTTTAGCAGAGGATAAAAAGATAGGTCATGTTGTTGATTTTGCAGAAAACAATTCAACTTTGAAAGAAGCAAAGGAAAAGTATTTTGGCAGCGGAGATTTACAACTAATATCTTCAACGGAAGTAATTACCGACTGTTTGGCAAAACTGCGACAAATGCTGGCTCCAAAAGAAAAAGCTAGCAGTGAAGAAATAACTGGCTACTTATTGAAAAACAAAAAAGAAAGGGAATTTAAAAACTTGGTTAAAAAAATTGAGGAAGTGTCTATTTCTCTTCAGAAGGAAATCAACGAAGACGACAACATTTTTTTCTTAACATGTCGAAAAATTGCAGCCTCGCTTTTTCGAATAATTACTGACCTGCCGAAAATCGGGAAAAATCCTCAAACAAACAAAAATTTGTCTCCAAATAAACCAGAAGAAAAATCAAAAAAGGACGAACATATTTACGACGAAGAGCATTATTATTTGTACACTTTAGTAACTAAATTAAAAAAACTGCAGAACGAATTTTTAAAACTAAATATCAAACAAAAAATACTAGAAAACTTAGATGTGATGATTAGGCGTTACGAAGAAAGAAACCCTGAGCAGTTTAATTTCTTAGCTTTTCGAAGAGAAGCGGAAGCAACTTGAAAGTTAGTGAAAAAGAAATATGAAGAAGTTCAGAAGAATTTAGAAAAAGATTCCAATTATTTGCTAAAAAACGACCTATGAACTTACTTAAAAGAAAAACTTCCCGAACAGATTGAAACTGAATTAGTTCATTTTACCGAGAGATTAGTGGAATCTTTTCAACAAGCATTCCACAATAACCCCGATTGTTTCTTACTTAACGAAGCTTATGGAACCGCAAAACTAGAAAAATTATTTGATAAAGTCTACTTTGAAGAGTGCAATTTACTGCCTCCAAAAAGTCTTCGAGAGAAACAAGAAATAAGAAAAAATATAATTAACATCATTGGAAAAAATTATCATGGATATTAATAAGATTCAGTTAACTGATGAACAGAAAGAATGTGTTAATTTTCCTTTGAATAAACAAGTCTTGATTATTAATGCAGGTCCCGGAACGGGAAAAACTGAAATTATCAAGGAAAGAATAAAATTCATAATCGAACAAAGCCACAATCCAAAGCAATTAATTTTAGTTTTAACTTTTAATAAAAGCATTTCTTTGGACATTTGGAGAAAACTGAAGCAATTCGAAAGTAAAGGAGTCTTTTTTCTTAAAAAAACCAGTGAATTCTCAAAAAGAAATATTTTTTCTTCTTTTCAAATAATGAACCGGACTTTTCACTCTTTGTGTTATTTGATTTTTAGTAAAGAGTTTGAAAAGATTTCGGAAAAGAATTTTTACATTATCCCCGATAAAGAAAAAAGAACATATTTTTTTCCTTTTTGAACTGATTTTACTAGCAATATTGTCGAGTTTGACAGAAAGAAAAGCTCTTGAAAAAAACTCTCTCCATCTGATAGATTAAAGTTTATTATTTTAGGGAAACTCAATAAATATGTTCTGCAAAAGAAGTCTAATAAAGTTAGTCAAGAGTTGAAAAAAAAGTTAATAGGCAAAAAAGAAATTTTGCAAAAAATAACAATAAAAAAAGAAGAAAAACCTATTATTTATCAAAAAATTGTTTACGAAGAATATTTGCATGAAGTTCACTTGGTTTTGGAAAAATCAGGAAGATTAGATATGTACGAACTGATCAAAGAATTTTTTCTTAATGAGCAGAGAAAAAATCTTTGACTGAGTTTTAATGATCTAGTTACTAACGTTGTTAATTCGTTACAGTTAAATGAAGAAACACAAAAACGTTGACAAATTTTTGATCATATCTTAATTGATGAAAGTCAAGATTTAAACTGAAACAACTTAACAATAATTAAATTGCTCCGCCGACCAAACAGTAGTTTGACCTTTGTTGGTGATCCTAAACAAACAATCTATGGATTCCGCGGAAGCAAAAGTAACGTTTTTGACGAAATTAAAATTATTTTTCCTTTTAACATTCAAAAGGATATTACAGAAAGTTTTCGTTCTCATAAGGGAATTATAGACGTAGTAAACGATTTTTCCCGAAAATTTCTCCAAGAATGGCATTACACCGATTTAAAGTCACAAAAAGAAGGAGAAAAGCCAAAAGTTTTTCTTGGCAAAAATATCCAAGAGCAAATGAATTTTCTTGTTAAAGAAATAGATGAAATCCGGGAACCATCGAGAAAAGCCATACTTTTTCGAGAAAATAAAACCATGGAAAAATTAGAGGAATGATTCAAAAAACGTAATTGAGAATACGTGGCACTTAGTGACGAACACGGTAACAAAAACCAAGAAATAAAAGAGAAATTAGAAAACGCAAGGTTAGAAGAATTAGGCAATATAAGCACCATAGAAGATCTCATTAGCAAACTGAACATCCAAATTTGTGATCCAGAATTAGAAGATTTAGTGGAAAACTTTGATAACAATCTAAAAATTGAGCAGCAATGATGAGGAGAAAAAGCTGAACTAAGTCAGCGCCAAATAAATAAATTTAGCCAAGAACTAGAAGAGTTAACTTTTTCTCGACAGACAATGAATAATATGATGGGGAAAATCATTCTTTCCACTATTCACAAGAGTAAAGGATTAGAATTTGATCATGTTTTTTTGGTAGATATAAATGAGGGTATTTTGCCTAGCAAAAAGGCTCAAGACAAAGAAGAAGAATTGGAAGAGAGTAGAGTATTTTATGTCGGTATCACTCGAGCAAAAAAAAAATTATATTTGTGCTGTTCTGATCAAGAAAGGATTTCTCGGTTCATTAAAGAACTTGACAGCGATCTAATAGAAATCGAAACAACTGACAGCAAGTCAAGTAAAGCAATAAATAATTTACCGCCTATTGCTTTGGAAAAAGAAGCAGAAATTGGTGAAGAAGGAGAAGAAAAAGTCTATAATATTCTAGCAAAAAGCAAAATTGTTTTCTTAACTTTGACTAAAAATTGGGAACTAATTCCTGACTTGCAAATCGACATCTACGCTGAAACTGCTCAAATGATTTATTTTATTGAAGTAAAAAATTGAAGTTGAGAACATTATGCACTAAATAGAGAAAAAGTTTTGGAACAACAAATTACTCGAGAGCAAAAGATACACACTTATTTTAAGTGAAAAAGCACTAATAAAAAAATCACTTATATAATATGTTTTTTGTACTGAAAAATGGCTCAAGATTTTCAGGATTTTTATTGAGAAATAGAAAAAAACAACAACTCAAAAAAAGCAAAATTATTATTCGCCTTTTACGAGGATCCAGATGAAGAGTTTGAATTTTTTGCTGATGGGATCCTAAAGATTGATGAATGAATAAAAACAGTCGAAAAAAAACATGGCGCAGAGTAATGAAATTTTTTCCAAGTTATGAAATTTGTTAAATAAACGACGGGGAAATGGAAATATTGATATCCTAAGACACATTGTTCCAGACATACTTTTTTTATTTGCTGTTTCAGTTCAATACGAAAAAGAAAAAATTAATAAACCAAAATTTGAAACATTTGATGATCCTGCTTATTTTACTTTACTCCCACCTCCTGAGAGTCAGTGAAAAACTATTTTGAAATGCTTAAAAAAAGATCCACAAAACATTAAGAAAAATGTTTGTAAGGCTCTGGAAGCAATTGAAAAGGTTAAAGTGGGGAATAATTCACTAGAAGGATTAACTTATAAAGAGTACTTTAGAAGTCCAGACTTAACTGATTACGACTTACAACAAATTATAAATGAATTTGACGAAGAATTTCAAGGATTTTCGAAGCAAAATTGAGAAGACTATGATTTTCTCGGAAATGCCTATCAGTTTTTTTTGCAACAGTTTGCGGCTGAAGGAGGAAAACAAGGAGGGCAATTTTATACTCCGCTGGACGTAGTTGAATTATTGGTCAAACTGCTTCAAATTGACAAAAAGGGAGCAATTGTTTATGATCCTTGTTGCGGCTCGGGTGGAATGTTTGTCAAAGCAAATCGTTTAAACATGGACAAAGAATTAGTTTTTTTAGGGCAAGAATTAATTCATGATACTACTCGTTTAGCCAAAAGAAGACTGATTATGGAGGGTATTAAATCTTTTCAGATCATTCAAGGAGACACCTTATTCAAAGACGAACATTCAAATGAAAAAGTTGATTTTATCCTGGCCAATCCACCTTTCAATCAAAAAGATAATAAAATGGTCGAAGGGGATGAACGTTGAAAAGAATACGGTTTTTGTAAGAAAAACACTAACTATGGTTGAATTTCTCATATTATTTACAAACTAAAACCAGAAGGAGGAGTTGGGGCAGTAATTATGTCTAATGTTACTTTATCTAGTGCAAACAAAAGTGACATAGAGATGAGAAAAAAGTGAATAAACGACAATTTAGTGGAAGCTATTATTACTCTTCCTAACAAACTTTTCTATACCACTTCAATTTCTCCTTGCATTTGGATTTTACGAAAGAGTCGAAAAACTGATGAAGTTTTGATGATTGATATTTCTCAAGAAGACTTTGGAGAAAAAATAACCAAACAAAAGAAAAGCGACAAAGAACGAATTCTTACCTCACGTGATATCAAAAAAGTAACACAAGTTTATCAAAAATTTCTCAAAGAAAGAAAAATAGCAAATTATCTTCCATCGCGAATAGTCTCGCAAAAAGAGATCGAAGAAAATTATTATATTCTTGTACCAACTTTTTACTTAAAAGCCAAAGAAATTAAATTGACTCAAAAGGAAATTAATAGAAAGTTGCTATCAACTACCGAAGAGTTAGAAAAATTAATTGAAGAACAAGATAATTATCATAAGCAGTTAAGAGAGTTATTAAAAGAACTAAAAAAAGAAATAGATGAAGAAACGGAATAAAAGTCACAAACTTATTTAAATGCAAGGAAAGAAATGATTAAGTATGAATGAAAACAAAAAAATGTTCCGAATCATAGATTCTAGATTTTTCGTCATCAGTGCCGTGGAATTAGCCAGAAAATTACTTGGCAAAATATTAGTTCGAAATATCAATGGCCAACTTATAAAAGTTAAAATTGTGGAAACTGAAGCCTATGATGGAAATATTGATAGAGCTTGCCATGCCCACAAAGAAAATAAATCATCTTGAAAGGCTGCGGCTTTAAACAATCGGGGCGGTTGTGCTTATGTTTATCTTATTTACGGAATGTATTACTGTTTTAATATCGCTTCTTCGATCAAAGGAGACCCACAAGGAGTATTAATTCGGGCTGCCGAACCCCTTGATCATCATACCATTCCCGTTATTTCTCTTCACGACGAAAAAAAGAAATTTCATTATTATACTAATGGTCCAGGCAAATTATGCCGAGCACTCAATATCGATATAAGTCTCAATCATATTGATCTAACTACTAGCAATTTAATCTATTTAGAAGACGCGCCCGACCTTAGCCAAGAAGAAATTGTTATTAATAAAAGAGTGAACATTGATTATGCCGGAGCAGATAAAGACCGTTTATGAAGATTTTATATTAAAAACAATCCTTTTGTTTCTCGAAAATAACTAGTTAAATAAATAGTTTATAATATCGGTTTACCATTTACTTTTTGCTGCTTTTGATGGTCGCTATACTTTTTAAAAACGTAAAATAATCCCACTGGTAGCCCAAACATTAAACTGATAACAAGTAAAAGTATTCAAAAGTTTCCTCAAATATTTCCGTTTAATTTTAATTTTTCTTGTAAGTCGTGAATTGACCTTTGAAGTTCTTTTAGTTTGTCTTCTCAATTACTGCTTGGTTTATCTTTTTTTTCCTCTTGATCAACATTAGGAAAATCGTGAAGGATAATCTGGGCAATTAGTTCATCATTAATAACTATTTTACCCTCTGATTCTCCTCTTTTAGCTTCTCTAGTCCACTGTAAAATACAATAATTAAAAATATAGTCAAAGGCTGTTTTTAATTGACGAACACCTTTTTCTTTAGTTTTAGCAATTAATCTTTCCAATGCTTCGGAAGTAATTTCAAAATTTTTGGAATTTAGTGTTGGATTTTGGGAAAAAAAATTCTGAATAATTTTGCTAGCAATTTCTTTTTTTTGTTCGTCGCTGTATTCTGGTAATTCAACCATTGTCATCCGTGAACGCAAGTAAACAGGAATTTTATCTTTATCGTTGGCAGTTACCACAAAAGTCACTTGGGAAAAATCTATTTTTACATCCAAATAATAATCTAGAACTGCTTGATTTTGTTCAAGATCCAAAACTTTTATTAACAGGTCATGAATGAAGGGCTTCGTCTTGTCGATTTCGTCTAGTAAAATTACTGGATTAGAAGCTTTAGATTCAATTAAAGATTTGGTTAATTGTCCTATTTCAGTTCCTGAAGAATTTTCGCTGGCTCCTACTAAATCAGCAGAAGTAGATAATCCTCCCAATGGTATTAAAAAAAATTTTTTCTTTAAGGCTTGAGCCAAGAGTTTACTAAAAGTGGTTTTACCAGTTCCAACTGGTCCAACAAAACACAAAACAGAGGAACTTTTTTGGACATTTTTTGACCTTCTAAATTCTTCAGTCTCCAAAATTTCTAAGATTTTTCTTTTTTGTTCTGTAAATCCTACTTGCTGATCAAGAATTTTCTCTGCCTCTGACAAACTAAAAGTAGAAGTAGGAACTGTTTGATAGACACTAATTAACTCATCAATTTTTTTAATTCGATATTCCAAAGTTTCTTTGCGTTGACTACCTCCTCCCTGTCATAAATTACCTAGCCTTTCTTCTAATTCTTCTTTTTTAGAAACTAATCTTTCAATAATGCTCATTAAAAGATAGTTTTATAATAGTCTTCTAAATTTTCTAAAAACAAAAACTTAAACTCGCATAAATAACAATTTACTCAAATTTTTGAATCTTTTCCCAATACAATTTGTATAATTTTTCAATACTTTCTGTCGAAGTTAGATTACTAGTATCAATTTTTAGTCCAGACTTTTCGGATTGTCGAATATTTCAATCATCTCTTTTATCACGCTCAATTAAATCCTTTTTTACTTCTTCTAAGGACAAACTTTTTAAACTTTTTTCTAGTTGTTGATATCTTCTTTCAACCCTTTTCGATTGATTAGCAGTCAAAAATATTTTAACTTCTGCTTCAGGTAATACCTTGAAAGTCATATCCCGACCCACTACTACAAATCCTTTATTTTTTACTAGTTCTCTAATTAACTCACGAATTATTTGTCGTAATTCTTGAATTGGAGAAAAAAGTGAAGCTAAGTTACTTATTTCAGGCTGAGACAAGACAGTATACTGTTTTTCTAATTCTTGAAAAAAATTTTGTGGATCCTTAGCAATTACAATCTTTTTTTGAAAACAAAACTCTATTACTTTTTCTCTTTCCGAAGAATTATAACCATTTTCAGTAAGAAGTTTAGCAAAGTAACGATAAAATAACCCACTATCAAGAAACTGATAGTTGATTCTTTGGACAAATTCTCGACCAAGAGTAGTTTTGCCAGAACCGGCGGGACCATCAATCGCAATATTAATCTTCATTTAAATACATTTTTTGAAAATTGATGTTTAAATTAAATAAGAAAGCAAAAAATTCCTCTAAACTTTTACTTTTTGGATAACTCACTCGCACAAAACTTAGCATCTAACAAAAACTTATATATAACATAAAAATGGCTTTAACTCTTATAAGACTAGCAAAAAGGCAAGTAAGAATTAAACTATTTTGTAGTTTGCGTACCGTCTCTTTGTTTAGATTGTTTCCCTCACCTAATAACTTTCTGTTTTATTTTTCGGTTCCTATTTTTTAACTCTTTCTTGTACTTTCATTCGGCTATTTTTTCAATAAGCGGCGAAATAAGAGGACTTAACAGCAAATCAGAAACAGATAGTACAGCCAATATTAATAAAGTAGGACCCAATTGCACATGATCTCTGTTTTTATCAATCGTTATAAAGGCTAACACAAGTCACATATTAAACTTAGAAAATTTATCAAATCATTTCATTAATTCTAGCCTTCTTCTTCTCGATTTAGCTCCCCTAATTCACCACTTATGGCATGATTGACATAAAACCAATTTTTCAGACTTTTCATCACCTCAATTCTCATAAACTTCGTGCATTAACTCATTACTAGAAACCAATTTGTAACATGTGTTGCAAGTGATCATATTTCTTTTTGTTCTTGTTCTAGTTTTCAGTCATATTCACCTAGTTCCTTGGCAATAACTTTTTCAACAAATTTGCTAATTTGGCGGCTGCCAATTTCTTCTTTTAGGCGCTGATATATCTGAGGATTAATAGTAATACTTAAAGTTGTTCTTACTCTTTGATTTACCATAATATTATTAAATTTTATACATTGGACCAATGCAAACAATGTTGTGTTAAAATTAGTACTGGATGTTGATAATCACTTAACCAAAATAAGTTGGATAAATTTGTTGGTTCACTAATGAATATTCATGGTACTCGCGCTGCAATTTCTCAACATCGCCGTGATTTAACACCCACTCAGGTTCAACTCTTTTTATATCCCTTAACCAAGCATAGTAAGCAGGATTGTAAATAACTAATCCTTGTTCGCTAGGAGAAGTAGTGTTTATTCAATCTGCACACTCTTCGTATGTAAAGCCGCAAAGTTTTCATTCTTGAACTAACCAGGGAGTAAAATTAGGATTAATATTTGTTCAAACTCTTTCTCGTTAAGGTAAACTTGTTACCCCCGTTGTTTCTATTTCCTTAACTTCAACTTCATCCTCATTAGAGGAAGCATCAGAAATTTCTTCTTCTTTAATACCAGTATATTCATTTCGCAATCTGTCTAGTCTTTCTCCTTTTTCTTCTATATCATCAACTGTATAACCTCGCTTTTCAATATAAAAGGCAAAATCAGCATCCCCCGGTTCTAAACCAACATTAATTCATTCTTGAACTTGTCAAAATTGAAAACCGTTTTTTTCTCACTGAGTTTGCAATTCATCAGTAAATTCTTCATGAATATCTGTTCAGTCAGTCATATTTTCATATTTATTTAATAATATAAATTTTAAATTCTTCTAAACAGTTACTAAACTTTTGTCCTATTTTTCTCCATTTTAATTTTTCGGTAGATTTCTTTTGATTTTTAATATTTTTACCTGGCTTTAATGTTGCAAAATTTTTCAAAAAATTAAATAAGATAAGATGGAAATTCTCCAAGAGTTAAACGAACAACAAAAAAAAGCGGTCTATGAAGAACATCCGCGAATATGTGTGATTGCTGGACCAGGTTGCGGGAAAACTAAAACCTTAGTTAGTCGCTTTATTTATTTGCTAGCCGAAAAAAAAATTTCTCCTCAAAATATTTTGGTTTTAACTTTTGCTAAAAAAGCCATTAAAGAAATTAAAAAAAGAGTTTTTTCTTATATTACTACGGTTACTCCCAAAGATTTACACATTTATAACTTCCACTCTTTTTGTTTTCACGTTTTAAACAAGCATTCTTATCTGTTAGGTTTTCCCGAAAGCAAATTTCCTGTTTATGATCGTCATGAGCAAGAAACCGTAGTTCGCAAGATAATTTATCAACTTAACTATAATGCTGACCAAAAAGAAATTAATACCATTATTGCTTATATTAGTGGTTGAAAAAATGGTAAACTTAGCGTTGACAATCCATTGGAATTTGATGAACTGACTAAAAAAAGGTACGAAATTTACCAAAAATATCAAGAATATTTACAAACTAACAAAGCCCTAGATTTTAACGACTTACTTCTTTACACCATTGCGCTTTTCAATTATTATCCGTCAGTTCGAGAAGAATATCAAAAACAATTTAGCCATATTTTACTAGATGAATTTCAAGACATTAACGCTATTCAATGAGAAATAATTAAGTTAATTTTGAGTGATCAACAAAATGTTTTTTTAGTAGGGGATCCTAATCAAGCCATTTATGGTTTTCAAGGGGCTACCCCCGAACTAATTTCCTCTTTTAGTAAAGATAAAAATTGAAAGACTATTTATCTAAACATTAATTATCGATCAACTAATAGTATCATCAATTTGACTAACTCTTTTATTCAAAAAAATCAATCTAGTTTAGTAAATAATCTTCTCAATGCCTCAAAACAAGAAGGAGTAAAAGTGAGTTGAGTTAATGGCCGATCAATGCGTTCAATTGTCACTCAAATCCGTTGAATAATTGCGCGTGAAAATATTGAATTTAGTGACATCGCCATTTTATATCGAAATAATTATCTTTCTGGACGAATCGAACAAGAATTAATTGCCCAAAAAATTCCTTACGAAATATTAGGATCTTTTAAATTTATTCAACGGGAAGAAATTAAAGACGTGTTAGCGCTCCTAAAAGGTATTATCTACCAAGACAACGTTTCTTTATTAAGAGTGTTAGGTCTTCAAGAAAAAATTGGTGCTCGAACTGTTGAAAAAATCGAACAGAACAGCGAAAAAGAAGGAATTAGTATCTATAATTATCTTAACAATTTCGCTACGATTACTAATTTAACCCAGGATAAGTTAGCTGCTGGACAAGTAGAAAGAATTGGCCTAGTTATTCTCAAAATTAACAAGTGAAAAGAAAAGTTAATAAAAGAAGGATCCTTAGATACTTTTCTTTTAGGAATTCTTAATGATTTTAACTATTGAGAACACTTAAAAACCCGAATTAACTCAACTGAAAGAGAAAAAAATGTCCAACAATTTATTAATATTGCTCAAAATTGGGAGAAAAAAAGAAGAAAAGAATATCCTAATTTAGGAGAATTACTTAATAATTTTTTACAATGGATAATAATTGCTTTTGAGGACAAGAAATTGATTAAGACTCGGAATAATTTAATTCTTTCTTCGGTTCATCAAGCCAAAGGTTTAGAGTTTGAAGTAGTATTTTTTGTCTATTTAGATCAGGGTACTTTACCTTATAAAGAAACCCAAGACCTACTAGAAGAAAAGCGCTTATTTTATGTGGGAATTACCCGAGCTAAAAGACGGTTATATTTGTTAAGTAGCAAAGATTTATATTCGCCTTTCTTAGATGAGTTAGAACATTCTTTTTTGAATAAAGTATAGGGTAATTTAAATTTTTCGCTACATTATTCTTTAAAAATAATATATGGGAGTGTGAGTTTTGACTTAAATGAGGAGATAATTATGGCAACCAATCTTGAAACAAAAAATCAAGAAACTAT